GGTTAGTGAAACATTCCGTAGATTTGCTCCCTTCTAAATGATAATCGTACGAGGTTCTTCTTGATTTGGGTTATTTCTATATACTAAAGCCGAAACTACATCAAAACCGCGTTCTCCTTCCTTCCTTCCTTCCCTCCTTCCTCTTCCATCTATCTAAAATCCCAAAACAAAACAAAATCCAATCCAACCAAAACTCCTGCTCTAAATAAACCACCCACTCTCCCCCCACCCTTCCTCCTTTATATATATATATTTATTTCTTCTCAACAACGACAAACAGATAAAATAAAAACACATCCCTTCTTTTTCTCTCCGAGATTTCCCCCCTTCAAGTACCAAATTCCCGCCCCAAGAAAAATTCTCATATCATTTATGTAAGATATTCCACGCTTTTCTTCCATCGACTGGTGGCAACTCGAAGTGATGGCTCAATGGGCTTCAAATTCGGCTTTCTTGTCCAGTTGGTGTAGATTCATCCAGGTGATAGAAAGCCCATATGCGACAATTATAATCGGAAAAAAACCTATTCAGTCAGGTTTATAGACTGGAAACTCATGATTATCGATGTTTTCCAGCTGGCTTTTGCCATTTTTTTTTTGGAGGGGGTGGTGGGGGGGTTTCCTTTCTTCTTTTTATTCTATTTTTTCCCTCCCCTTTAAAAAACAAGAAACGAGCGATTGGTTATTTGTTTAATCGTCGGTTACCTTGAACTTAATTTGTAAAAAATCCCGACCTGGCGCAGCCAGGTCGGCACTACCAAAGCGGGACAATAACGGTATACCACTTATTAAACAACAATTATTAATTTAAAAAAGAAAAAAAAAATTATATGCTTAGAAAATTTTGCTTCACAAACGTGAATCAAAATTATAACAATGCATTTATTTATAGTAATCTAATACATTAAAATGTAATGAAAAAATAGTCAAAAACTGTTTTAAATAATTCAAATTTACTTATTTATTGCAAATATCTTAACAACCACAGCCTTAATTCGAAGAAACGTCATATAGATCGAAAATAAATGATTTAATATATTATATTACTGAAGGTATTAATTATTAAATCAAAGTTGGTAGTGATGCACGTATTCTTTTGATAAATTGAAATAAAAGTACGATTTTCGTGTTCTTCGCTTATTCTAGTATATACGCGGCAATTCTGATATATACGCATTACTAAAATCGAAAAGTACATACCAAAAGTACTATTTTTACTACTTTAACTCAACACAATAAAAGCATAACAACTTGTAATTAAAATTCGATTTATTGATTAATATCAAAATCAATACGGTGCATCTTTTTATACAGAAATAATTACGATATAATAATTAGTTGATTTTTTATTTATTATAAAGGAGCAAATTTTACTGTCCGCCTTGGTGGTGCCGACTTGCTACAGCAACTCGGGATTTTTTACAAATTAAATTCAAGGTAACCGACGATTAATGGGTGACTGAGCTAGGAATATATATATATATATATATATATTTTTTGATGCAGTAATGTATGTATGTATGTACCTGCGTTGTTTTGTATGCGGGCACGGGTGAATTTCTTACTGCAAGTAGGATGGGTTTCTCTTGCGGATGGATGGATGGATGGATGGCGAGCTAGCACTGCTTGATAAGTGGCTCCATACGTAAGGGTAGGAGGCTCGGCTTGTAAGTAAGTGTAAAGAAGCTTGATAGCTTCTTGATAGTGTATGTATTGAATATTTGTTTATTAGGTTTGACGATAGGGTTGAATGGTTGAGATAAGGTATGTTTTGAATAAATGTATTTTTTCTGTGATCTTTTATGATGTTTGGATAGTCGAATTCCAAGTTTGACTTTGATTTTGTTTGCTTGTTGGTAAAGTAAGTGAAGGATAGAGCTTAAGGTATGCGAGTCTTTATACTGATCGTGATGACCATATTCGAGAAGAAGAAGAAGAATGGGAGGTTATGTCGATGTCTCTGTCATGTACGGCCACTCGGCTCGGATTATCTTCATCTCGAGCATATATATGCAGCGATGAGAGACGGAGTAGTCGGAAAGCATCTAGAGATTTCTTAATACATGAACATTCAAGGGACCGTAGCTACGAGATATGTATTCCACGTTGTCCGGATGGATATCATTAGCTCCGATGGCTTTTAGCTGGAGTATACCTTTGCTATCGATAAGATCCAATAGAAAACTTGATATCCAGTAGCAACCTGAATGCCCAAAAGCCTTTAGTCAAGAAGCAGCCAGGTCACAGTGCAGCTGCCAGCATTGCCGCGCCCCACCCAAAAGCAGACAGCACAGAAACCCAAAATAACCCTTACCAACAAGCTTAATTATACCATTAAGTCAAGCCTTCCAGCATCGGTATTTCTTCTGAATGACCCGCATAATGGCGGGCATAGCAGCCGGTATGCAAGTCATGCGACAGCCCACGATGGGCTTACGGGCGGAGGCTTCGCAGCTGTGCAACCACACTCGCTGGACATGGTTATCAGACGGGATTACCCTGGGTGTAGAATCTGACGGCTAGCTTTAAGCTCTGGTCTGGAAGGTTTTTGTCGGGGGAGGATAAGTTGGATGGAGATCAGAGGATCATGGGGCCCTGCGCTACTTTTCGAGATGGTGAGGACTCTTGACCTCGCAATAGCTCTAAAACTAGCAGTATCCAAGACTGGTGGCCAGCTGAAGCGATAGGAACACTGGTAGTAGACGGAGCAACGAATTATTGTTTTATCTATTCCTTTTCGCTCGGGTTTGCAATGGGAGAAGAAGAAGAAGAAGAAGAAGAAGAAGAAGAAGTAGAAGAGAACGACAAGACACGAGGTAGATGGAGTAAGCGAGGCCCAGCCACGTCTCACTCTCCCCCCACTCACTTCACCGCTGGAAGCGCAAAACATCTACAGCAGCAGGGACAACACCACAACACCAGAAGCCTTCCAGCCTTATGTTACCTGTCCACCGCTCAGGACAACTCACATCATTTACCGGACTGCCCCAGGCAACGCCGGAATGCTTGCGGCAGCGATGGTGTGGCCCCGGACGGGATGATTGGCCCAGCTTCTCGGGCCCGCGATAACCTCAACCACATCCACAAGCACCCTTGACAACTTGACAACTTTCATGGCTGCAAGTCAGCCAGTTGGTAAATTCTGATGCAAATCAGTGAGAAGTCAAAGAAGCGAGGGTGTCAGCAGGTGCCTCAAAAGGACGGGAACCTTCTGAGCATCTCCTGACGCTCTCGCTACTTGAACAACAAAGCAGCTCGTCAAAACATTTGGCTGCAAAGTTCCTATGTTTATTGCCTTTGTGCAAGATATCAACCGACTCTCAAAATTGAAGCTGAGCAGTGAGCATCACGATCATCGAGTTTCACGATCATCGAGTTCAACAATCAATCAGCTTAACACGATGACTCTCATTCTACCACTACCGTGCATGGCAGGAAGATATCCGCAAGTGCCAGCAGTGCCAGAAGTACCAGCACCATACCATCCAAAGCAAAAGAGGAGACGGCTTCAAAAAGCAAATCCCATGCGCAACTCAGATACAAGATTCTACTCTTGCATACTTGCAAACACTCGCCTCCACATGCAATCCTGCTTTTCGGATAACGCTGTACCGACAGGGGCCATCAACCTGGCCGGCAACCGCAAGGGTCAGCCCCAAGTCCACACCTCTCCCGAGACCCAAGCTCTGAATATTTCAGAAGCTTCTCTCACCAGCTTCTACTCCAGCAAGAGCTCAACCAACATGTTAAACGAATTCCAGCAGAGGAGGAGGTTGAAGACGCCCGTATTTTTCGTTGGACAATTGGAACGGAACTCCGTGTTATGCGCGCTGGACCAGGCCCAGATGTTAGCCGAGGAGTACCAGGCGGTGCTCCCGTTGCGGCTGAAGACTTCGTTCGTGGAGCTGCAACCCGCAAAGCGACCGAAGAAGTTGAGGAAGATTAAGAGCCAGCTGAGCCTCAGAGAATTGGTGAAGCTGCACTCGCAAAGCTCGCCGTCAACACCTGGATCGGATGCCGAGACTCTGATCGGCTCCCCCGCTTGGCCACAGTCATCCATGAACGAGCAGTTCAGCAGAGACACTACTCACAGTCTCCCCAAGATTGAAGAGGAAGAGATCCTACTCTCTCCAAATCGGAATCCCCATAGCGACGAGGGCCTGAAAATCTGCACCGAGCTTCTCACCACCGAGCTCGCTTCATCTCTCCTCCGGTACCACCCGACCGAGAATCGCGACCGCGCATGCGAGCTGCATGTTCTGCTTATGATCGAAGCATATGAAAGAGTGCAGCAGGATGTCCGCAAGATGCTTTCCGACGCGGGTGTCACGGGCAAGCAGTTCGGCCACGTGAAAGCTGCAGAAGGGATTCTGGACCATTGGCTACATGCGCTGTATGCGGTGTATGATCGCTCGCAGGTAGATGAGGAGAGGAGGAACCAGTTGGATTGTGAGTGGCCTGTGAGGAGCTCGCATTGCTCTACCAGCTCATCACCAAGCGAGAGGTAGCAGGCGGAGGAGAGTGGCGGAATCATGGTCTTGTTGGCCTACCTGCTCTGGTTATGTATACGTGGGGAGTTTGGGATGAACATGAACATGGACAGTAACGGGTTCGGGGGTCTGGGAAGGTTGTATGTGGCATGGCGTTGGAGCATGGGAGTTTTCGAGGCGTTGGGCTGGAGGGTGTTTCGGCGTGGGGAAAACAGGGTCGGTCTACGGAGAGATACCACGCGAAAATTAGGAAATTCAATTTGATGATTGCGCTTGTTATCAATATGTCTAGGAAGTAAAGAAGAGTTCATTCTATCTCGCCGCCCACCAGCTTTTCAATCTGGGACTTCCTCTCCTCCTCCCCCTCATCATCCTCCACACCACACTACCACCAATACGATATTCCTCTCCAATGCACACATCGCCACTCCCTCCCCCTCCTCATCCCCATCATCTCACCAAGAAGAAAACAAAACACATACACACATACACAACTTTCACCATGACCCGGTCCTCCGGTCCTCCGGTCCTCCCGGACTCAAGACGCGAACGCTCTTCCCCAGCTTTCCGCTCCGGACATTGTCCTCCCCCTCCTAATGATGCGCTGCTCTGAGTGGAGGGGATATTGTGTTACGTCCGGAGAATCCAGGAGAATCCGGGGGGAGGGGTGATGGGCGGGTTGATGGGTTTGGAAAAGCATATGCATATGTATATGCATATGCAGCTGGTAGGGCTGGTATGGAACTTTTGGATTGAGATGGGGTAGGGGTTGGAGGAGAGGAGGGGGGAGAGAGGGGGGAAGGGGACCGATTGTTGAAGGTCACGTTTTCACTGTCGGCAGAAAGAAAGAAAGAAAGACTGGACGAAGTGGGCTGGCTGATGAAAGGTAGACGGGAGAGTCGATTGGTTGGATGCGGTGGTTCCGGATTGAGCGGTGGGGTGGTATTTTGGATTTGATGCCGTGATATTCGTTTGTTTGTTTGATCTTGTAGGTAAGGTAGATATCGCTGTAGCCGCTGTAGCGAACTCTGTACGAGATACGAAGTAGCGGTAAGACGTTCTCAGTGCCAAGTTGTCAGGTGTGACAATCACGTGACAGTCCACTTTTCAGCGCCAATTCTCACACGTCTCTTCGCCTCGTCTCGCATCCGACAACTACTTCTACAGTACGAATGTACGACCAATTTGCTTGATTCGGACTCCAGGCATCAACGTCACTAGCTTAAATGCGACACATTGTACCGGTATCTCTCTCAATCAGAAATATACATATCTCACCGGAAGCGTGGAAGCGCGATCTTGATCAAAGACTCCAGAACTCGAAGGCTTCTCCCGCGGCATCAATCGAGATAATGTCAGTATACACGGACGAGCAAGGGGTCGAAGATACAATGGCCATCTCACGAACATTCCAATACAGCGGTTGGAATGAGCCGTCCCGGCCCATCACGGCAAATAGAAATAACGGATTAACTACCAAATCGAGCTAGGTGACAATGGAATGGTAGGATTATTTTGATGCATGATTCTCGACCCAAGCGTTTCTTGAGCTGTGGATTGTCCCTTTGTTCGATACTTGCAAGTGCAGCCCAGACGCGGGGACTCGGTGGTGGCTGGAATGTAACTAATGTCCGGCACGTTCAAAGAATGCACTTTGTTATTTCCCCTTTTCCCTCTTCCTCTTCCAATATCCTTAACACGTCAACATCATCTCTCAAACCTCGCCTCACTATCGATCATGGCGACACTTCCAGCACATAACGCCGCCAACAAGAAACGAGGGGCCGCGGTGGAGTTTGAGAAGCCAGAATCCAAGAAAAAGGCCGATGCGGGTAAGGACAACAGCGCAGCGTCGGACGACCAGTATCTTTACCCTCCCAAGATTCTTACGGCAGAGGAGCGGCTCGAGCAGGCGAGAAAGACAGCACGCTATGTGGACGATGAGACTGCAAGACGGAACGCGATCCTAGAAGAAAATGAATTCCGCATTGCCAACCCAACATGGAATACGGCAATCACTTCTCAGTGCCCAGCATGGGTACATTACCGAACGGAGCTCGTGGCCGATTTGAGAAAGCTTTCTGTCAAGGATGTTCTTGACAATCGCAACATAAAGCTCGACGCAGAGGGTCCAAAGGACGCCAAAGGGAACCCGTTGCTTGATAGATATGGCAGGCCCGCGTTCAACTTTGATAGATTCAAGTATCTGTTACTAGTTCCGCCACCCGTGGATGGCTTAATTCTCCAACTGCAAACAGAGAATGCGATACTCTACAAGCAAGCGCTCAAGACTGATCAATTCAAAGGTGCACACGACAATCTCGCCACGAAGCTCACCATGGTGCACTTTGGCCTTCCAATCGAACCCCTCACCGTGAACAACATCGCCAGAGCAAACTTTAATGACGGCGATGATCCGGAAGATGACGCGCCAGTACCACCACAAGTTCAAAGGATTATCTATGCCGAAAAACCGTTGGAATTCCTTGACGAGTACCATGAGAGAGGTTATGGGTTTCATATGCTTCGCAGTGAGTTCCAAGAATCTGTGTATAGCGGCTGTCAGATACCTTACTTACAAGAAATAGGAGCAAAGCCTAAACATGTGATCAAACCTACGCCCCAAACCACGCTTCCTGTTCCGCCGGCACCGCTGAACTTATTTGGCGCCCGGATTCCCAACCCACCAGCTCACCACCATCATGGTCAAACCCTGGCTCCTTTGCAACCAACAGGACAGCCAGTTGGCCTTCGTGGCGGTGCTGGGAACTCGACGACACGCACCATATACAATCACTTCGGTGGAAGTTATACTGTCAATGTTGATGACGACACCGAGCTTGTCTCACCTCAAGACTTTCTGAGAGCATCTTTTTACCTCCTGGATCTCCACCAAAATTCCAGCTGGATCATTGTCTTTGACCAGTACAACAACTCTGAGCGGTACAAAAAAGAACCCATCAAGAAGTTTGTCAGATCGTTCGAAGTGTCGAAAATTGATTTCGCACAGAAGTACGAGGCGTATTTGAGAGCAAGGATTTCCAACAAGCTAGAAGATTGGATCATAGTAGTACAGTATAAGCACATTCGGGATCGTGAAAAGAGGGCTGCGCCAACTTTCCAACCACCGCACGGCATCACAGGGAATTCGAATGGGCAGTTACCTGCTCAAGAAACACGACCCCTCAATGCCCCTTCAGCGACCCATCTGCCCCCACCCCCTCCAAAATCACCCTCGCTTAAATCGAAAACTCGTTTCATCTTCCGCCACGACGATGGGCATCAGGTAACACAAAGTGCCCAGGTAACAGATAGTGCCCAAGGTTTCGCCAGAAAGTCTCTGGATTTGCTGAAAAACGCAGATACTGACTGGAAATTCTTCGTCGATTTCTACGGCTTCAATGACGATGTGAGGAGGCCGGGAAAACCTATACTTCCCTACCATTCCACAATCCTGGTCACCCCAGCAACCATGAATACGCTATGGCTGAGTACAATCCAAACGCGGCTGTTCGGGTCTTTGGATTCGCGATTCAGATGGCGTGTTGTCATCCGGGCTGAGGAGGAGGATATAGATCCTACCTTCAACCCATCTGATGTTGAATCAGACTCCTCGACGACCTCTAGCTCTCCCTCAGATTCTGGGACGGGTGAAACCAAGCCATCTATTCTAAAACCAGGCCCTCTACTCAAAGATCATATTTATGGGTATCGTGGAATGACCCCAATTGCGAAATTCGACGAAAAGAGCTTTGCCGAAGCTGCTCTGGCTATTCTAGCGCTGGACCATCATTCCAACTGGAATTTCTCTATGGACATTATTGAGAACGGGGCTAGCAAGACTGTCGCCGTCTCAAAACCCTTGTGGAGCCGTATGTTCAAAGATCACGTACAGAAGTTCGGCAAGCAGGCAGACGGAGGAATCCCGATCTTTGTTCGTGATGTCACCGCTTTCCCCCGATCGGAGGGACAGATGCAGCCCGCGGCCGATGTCGACAATCTTGTCAGATTGACAGACGGGACCGGGAGAACTGCATATTGGGCCATTCCAAAATCTCGCCTACGATTCGGGGTCAACCAACTGCAAGATGACTTTTTCTCGGCAATGCAAGTTTTCTTCAACCCCGGTAACCGACGCCCTAGTCAGCATGTTATCGTTGGCGGCGCCGACCTCGGGCCTGGTGGGATGGAGCTCACCCAACAGCTGTGGACCCAGCTCGCGAGAGACGCCCAAGATCCAAGCAAACTCATGCAGTACGCGGTTACATTGGAGGATAAATCCTTGGACAGGATGACTAATGGAGAGTTGTTGCCTGTCCGCCTGGCTGGTGCGACGAGCTACGGTTACTATACCGAAGGCAATTACGACACGCTGGCCGCCGAGCTGAACAATTTACTCGATGCTGCTCTCGCTCTCGGTGGAGGAGCAAGGAAGCCGGCGGGACTCGTTCTCTGGTACACGCCAGAAGATCGTGAAGACGGTCTCCATCCATTGGTCTTGCGCTCTCAGCCCGAGAAAACCCTTGCAGAGCGTCTTAAGAGTTGGGTCGAAGCACAGAACGGGAGAAAGACAAATTGTATCTGGTTTCGGCCGGTCTGGGAAGAGTTCGAAATAGTAGATGTTAGTGAACCGTCGAACTCTTCCGTTTGGAAACCCGCGATGAGCAATGGAGGCGCATCTCTCAGTGCCTTCAGGGCGGAACTCTCTGCAATACTCCCCGGGAGCAACACCGATGGCTTCCAAATCGCCCTAGCCGAGTCTAGTCAGAGATTTGTTGTTGACATCAATACGACTGAAAATCAATGGCGCCGGAACGTGTTCGACTACCTGCTCGGACCGAGACTGCATTTTCGACTAACAAAGAATATCATCTATAGTATGTAGCACTCACATCCCATCAGAGATAATGTGATACTAATGTCGAAACAGACTCTCCGAATACCATTCCACCATGGGGAATCTGGCGGAGGACTCAGAATGCCGATATCACCGCTCCTCCAGTGACAGTATTTCCAGACACGGGTTCTCCAGTCACGCCCCTCCCAGCACCTGAATCGCCTACTAAGACAAGAGCGCCTCATCACCAGCCGCATCATCACCAGCATGATCACCAGCATCACCAGCACCACCAGCATCACCAGCATCACCAACCGCCGCACAGTCCAGCGCCGCCGTTAAATGACCACACTGGCCCTCCGGAGCCAGTCAAGCAGCCACCCTTCACGCATAACCACTCAAGACGTGTTCCAGGTGAAAGGGCTCACGTCCCTAGACCTGCGCAAAGTGGACTTTACGAAAGCTGGTTGTCTGACAAATACGCTCAGGATTCCTTGCAACAGCGTTCCTGGACCCAAGATCAGTCAGTCATTGAGCCAGGATTCAAACCCGCAGCTCCACTTTATGGCGACGTGTCGGAACTTGCCCTAACCGTGGGATCGAACTTGCCGACTGTCTTCGCCCAGCACCTTACGCCCACGGATATTGCACAGCTTATCCATGAGAGACGGAAAGCTGTTAACCATGCTCTGGAGAGACAGATCGCTTGTCCGATCTGTCCCCAGGTGTTCACAGCTTATAATGTTGAAGCCAAAAAGAAGCATTTCGAGATGCACAGTGCGCAGCTCAATGCAGGCAGGTTATGCCCAATGTGTGGTATCGACTGGACCTTCATGACGTTTGAACAGCGGAAGGATCATATCATAGGCTGCCAGATTAAGACGAACAAGGAGGACGTTATGAATTTCTGGGCTGCTACTAGATGCCCAATATGCAACGATAGCTTCGCAGGCCTAAAGGCAGAAGCCGTCATTAATCATCTGGCAGCCCATATCCCGGGGACTCTCAAGTACTGCGATCGTTGCAGCCTCGATCTCTCGTCTTGCACTGGGGCGGAAAGGAACTACCACGATAGCATGTGCGTCCACACAAAGGACAAGCCGGCTGTGGCCGACACGAAGTGCGATCACTGTGGCCGAGAGAAATTCTATGGGGAAGAAGATGACCACGATACGTGCGGAGACAACGTCAGCACCTATTGTACGAGATGTGGTTTTCTCATCTCAAATCTGAGGCTCGAGGACCAACACGCTCACAGACTTCGCTGCCGGGTCCTCTGTGGACCTACCGGGACGTTTTGCAAGCGCTGTGGCATCGATCTTTCGGTCTTGGATTCTGTCGGACACGCATTTCACAACAATGAATGCTACCAACGAGAACCTTTTGCGACCAATGCTCAGACTGATTCTGAGAGAGCAAGATGTATGTACTGAAACAACACGTGTTCTTGAATTTCGTGACTGACGTTTGTGTAGCTATCAATGACCAGCAAATCCAAAACAATCGCGACTCGAGCGAGCTCAAACAACAGCGAGCTGATCTCGCTCAACGCCTGCGCGATCTAAGAGACAAGGAGCATGGTCTTCTGATTCGAGAAGCTGCTGTGAACACGCAGTCATCACCACAGGTCACAGATATGGGAGCTTGTGCATTCGATTCTTGCCATCAACATATTGGCTTGATGACCCGCGAGCAGATGTTTGATCATTTCAACGGTCATGCCGCATCAGGCTCAGGCTCAGGCTCAGGCTCAAGCTCCGGCGATCGTATCAACCTGGGAATATGCCCTATCAGGGGATGTGGTGCCAATCTGAACGGAAAAACCGCACAGGAACTCATCGCTCACATCAGGACTCACTCTGGCCTTGGTGGGGTGGAAGCAAGCAGTAGTGGGGGCAATCCTTGCGATACTGTAGCCCTTCAGAAGGCACTTCAGGCCTTCAAGGCACGGATGCCTGAGTTCAAGGAGGCTCATAAGGCACTTCAGAATCTGGCCACCACAGCCTCGCAGAACAGCCTGAGAGCCCCGGACACGCAACTCGCGGGGCCCAACCCCGCTGGCGAGACGGGCCTGACTCCACAACAGCATGCCGCAAGCGCTGAAGTCAGACAGCACCAGCAGGCAGCGAACGATGTCAGTCTGGATACACAAGTGGCCATCGCCCAGGCTGCGAAGAACACCGCCGAGAAGGAGCTTGCCAGCGCCATCGAGGCACAAAGACTTGCAGACGAAGCGGCCAAGGCCGAGAGGCTTGCGGGCCACCCAGCAGCCGATGGCGACCCGGCTGACACGACCCAGACCGGCTTCCTGCCGTCGCCTCCCCGCGCCTCACTCAAGGAGTTCCGGCCCCTGCGCAAATCCCGCAGCGTTCGCGGGCGGCCCCCCACGACGAGCTCCAAGCGTAAGAAGGCCGCGATGGACGACTCCGAGGACACGCTCTCCGGGGGGTCGACTCTCCAGCGCTCGCCGTCTAAGCGCGAGACGAAGAAGATGAAGACCACTGGCGAGGGCATGAGTAGTAGTCCTGACAAGCGCAAGCGCCGACAGATTATTGCTGCCGGGGAGGGGGACGGCAGTAGCAGGTTTGACGGCGACGAGGGCCTGAGTGCGATGATGGCTGGGCCGAAGAGGATGACGAGGGCGGCTGCTGCTGTAGGAGCTGCGTCGAGGAGGGTGGGACGACCGAGGGGGGTGGCTCTCGAGGAGCAGGCCGAGGATGATGGCTTTGAGGATGTGGAGGAGGAGGAGGAGGACGACGACGACGAGGAGGAGGTGGTGGTGTCGGGACCGGGCCGGGACCAGGCTCGTTGAAGAGCAAGAGTCCTGGCGGGGGGAGGAAGTAGTAGATTCGGATATCTTCTTGGGCTTTTTGTCTGTTTTTCCACCGCGTCCTTATCGCGTTTCTCTCTTCTTGGGGAGGGGGGGGGGGGATGGGGGTTAGTTTCGTTTAATATCTGATAGTTTTTTCTAGTCTTTTCAATTTTCTAGTAGTGCATGCATGCATATTATTCTTTCTTTCCACTCGCAATCTTTCCTCCTGCTGCCTCCTCCTGACTGACTGACTGGCGTATCATATGAGATCTGCTGGTTGGTATTTACTTATTTACAGCTTAGCTTCATATTCAAATACTTGCAAGCCCCCTTTTCAGCACCCTCCTTCGGCTAATTGATACTCTGCATACTTTGAACACAGGAATTGAATCTTACACAGCTGAAACTACATCAAAGATCGAGACCTAGATTTAGATATTTCTGATACATATACATACAAACACATACACACATATGCACACACTTGCTTGCTTGCATGCATGTTTGCTTGCACGAATTGGGGTTTGGCTGGATTAAATTTTATACACCCCAACGAGACGAGTATGAGCCTCACGTACGAAGTTACGAACTGTAAAGTATGAGATCTGTTATTATGATTGAAGGTTGGAAGTGGAAGGTTGGAAGTGGAAAGTTGGAAGGTGGAAGGACTGTTTTTAGTGATGAGTAGGTTGATTGATTGATTGGTTGGTTGGTTGGTTGGTTGGATAGGGAGGAGGGGAATAGGTGGATGGTGGTGGTTTTGGAAGAAAGGGAAGAGAAAAAAGGCGGGGGGAGGAGGAGCGTTGATGGATGGAATGGATGGAATGGATGGAATGGATTGATAGATAGATAGAAGATATGCGGGGTGCTGATATGGGTATGGTAGAGGACATTAAGAGCATAAGATTATTGGAGATGTATTTATTGTGTGGGAGGATTGAATAAGTGCCATCAGACTTCAGAAGTTTCTGGATACTTACCGGTATTTACTTTCATTTATTTTGGAGTTTGCATCATCGATGCCAAGCCGAGATTATAAGCTGTAGGACAATTCCGCGAAATTTTTACATTCGTCCAAGCTCCTTTGCTACCAATACACATCCTCTTCCAAGCCCAACCACAACTCCCATTAAAACATGCCATAGCACCCAATCACCATGTTCGAGAATCTCTGTACCCTCCCCCTCTCGTCCGACCTCTTCGCCCAAGCCCTCCACCCCACGGAGCCCATCCTCGCAGTCGGCCTCTCTAGCGGGCATGTCCAGTCCTTCCGTCTCCCAGCCGTACAAGCCAGCTCCGACTCCGACGATGAAGAGGACGCAAACACCAGTGTAATTTCCACAGGCACCAACACCATTGACACCGAATGGCGCACGCGCAGACACAAGGGCAGCTGCAGAACGTTAGCCTACAGCGGTGACGGCGAGGGTAAGCGACTAGCAACACCGAATCCCCCTCTAAAAAAACGGACGCGAGATTTAACAGAAATCACACTACAGCTCTCTACTCGGCCGGCACGGACGGGCTATTAAAAGCGGCAAGCTCATCCACTGGCCAGGTCGTCTCGAAAATTCTCGTCCCGCTTGACCCTGCGGGCAGACTCGATCCGCCGACCCTCCTCCACGCCCTCACACCGCAGACGCTGCTCCTCGCCACCGATGCCGCCGCCCTGCATCTGTACGATCTGCGGGAACCATCGATTCTGGGATCGAAGCCGAGCCAGACCCACCGCCCCCACGACGACTTCATCTCCTCCCTCACGCCCCTCCCGCCGAGCAAGGAGAGCACAAGCGGACTCAGCAAGCAGTGGGTCACGACGGGCGGGACGACACTCGCGGTCACCGACCTGCGGCGTGGCGTGCTGGTTAAGAGCGAGGACCAGGAGGAAGAGTTGCTGAGTAGTGTGTTTGTGGGTGGGTTGCCGTCTAGGCCTGGACGGACTAAAGGCGAGAAGGTGTTGGTGGGGAGCTCGAATGGTGTCTTGACGCTGTGGGAGAGAGGTGTGTGGGACGATCAGGATGAGAGGATTATTGTTGATGGGGGACGAGGGGGTGGGGAGAGCTTGGATGCGCTGGTGGTGATGCCGGATGGGGTAGGGGATGGGGGGAAGAATCTTGTTGTTGGTGTCGGGGATGGAACGATCCGGATTGTGAAGCTAGGCCCGAACAAGGTCGTTGACACGCTGAGGCATGATGAGGTGGAGGGGGTGGTTGGACTGGGCTTTGATGTGGAGGGCCGGATGATCAGTGGTGGTGGCTCCATTATCAAGGTCTGGGAGGAGAATCTGAACTTGGAGGAGGACGAAGAAGACGAAGAGGAAGACTCCGACGAGGAAGACGCTGGCGGCATGAAGAGAGCCAAGGGCGCCAGTGATAGCGATGACAGCGGTGCGGATAGCAGCGAGGATGAGAATCGGGGTCGTAAGAGCCGCAAGAAGCGGAGGAAGGCGAATCGCAACAAGAACGTTGGAAACGGAATTATCGGGTTGAAGGGCCTGGAGTAGCATAAATACCCATTTGTATATTCGGAGTTACAGGTTAATCTGTCTGTCGCAAGGAGTGTGGTGTATATACACAATACACAATCGTCTGCGATAGTGGAATGATATTCCTGGTAAAGCCTACCTATAGGAAGCAGCTTTTTTCTTGCAATGAATGAAGCCAAATTCTCTGTCGAGACAGTTAGAGACCGTTTACTGTCAGTAGCGGGTATCTTAACAAAAGCTAGATATCTCTCTCTTCAAGCCAAGAGAGAGCGTAAGTAGAGATGTTAGAGTTGGAGAAATATCTTATAGTCACTAAATGCCTTACAGTGGATAATGAGAAGAAAGACTGCAGTCAGTAGATATGTAATACGTTTTGGCTTATACGATACGCGTATAGCCTTGTGAAATGATATATGCCGGCAATTGGCTGCAGGTATCGTGCCTCTTCCGATGCCGTGCATTCGTCTACTCGGCGAACAAGTCCAGGTCGTAAACCGGCGAAAACCAAATTCGGAGTTTCTCTGGAGGCTCGTCATACCGAGCTCTGCAGCACCCCAAGTGTCCCACGATAAGCTCCTCTCTGGACATCCGATTCTCGGTATCGACGTGAATCGGCCTGTATTTGCGACGAGTTCTGTATAGATCTGTCCAAGTTCTGAAGGTATTCTGATGATGGACCTCGTACTCATAGTGGTCTCTGATTTCCTGGCCGTCCGAAGTAACGTTCTCGTCGACAATGACAACCTCTGGTGCCATACGACCCTGTCCATCCACGTCCCTTCTCTCTAGCAACCCTTGGAATTTAAATACCGAATAGACTTTACGCGGGTTCAGATGCCATGAACAAGAAGCGAATTCCACGCAATCATAATCAAAGTCCCCGTATTCGTCTAGTTCAGGAAGGGAGATTTCGTTAAAGAAACCCAGAAGTTTGCTGTCGAAGGATTTCAAGACGAATTTGCCGTCCTCTCGATCCGGATTCCTTGGCACGCGGGCTGCGACCAGAACTACCAGCTCTAGCTTGGTAATCTTCCGTAGCACGTCCAAGTATCCCTTGAGCGGCGTTGCAGTTGCGCAGAAGGCGACAGACCGAAGCCTTGAAAGTGCTCTACCCGCTTCGAGAGCCGCCGTGAGCGTCTCTGGGTCCATGCTGAAAGGTGTTGTGCAATGCTCCGGCCAAGTAAGGTACAGCATGTCAAGGTCTGAGTGAACAACAACATCATTGCCTTGGATGACAGGGTTAGGAAAGGTGACATATCCGTAGGACGTGACATTGTTCCGGGTCTCTCGGCAGATCTGTCGTACCAGCACCGGCCTGTTTTTCTCGGGGAGAAGCACATAGTTTGGAAGCACCGAGTCGTAGATGGCCCATGACATCGTAACAATTCTTGGCTCTTCAGTGTATGCAAGCCATCCCCAGATCAAGCTCCGCAGCTCGACAGGCAGCTCTTGAAATAGCGGGAACGCATCCAGGTATGGTATGCGCTGCGCACAAAATGGAGCCGGTATCCCCTAGACCGTGCGCGTTAGATTAATCGGGCAGAGGTCCTCGAGATGGGCTGGTGCTTACGATATAGCCCATTTCGACAGCTCTTTTCTCATCAATGTAGTCGACGCGGTTGCGGTGATAGCGCGCGTATTCGGACACTTCCAACCCCACAGAAGTGGCATGCACATAAGCATTGATGTAACTCATGTTCGACGACGCCGAAGATGTATGTCGCGAGTCACGATGCGGATGTTGGGTAGATATCGCGAAGAGCCGAATCTCGAAGTTGTACCCGGTCTTTAGCGAGGCGACCCACTTCGCTCCTTCCGTGCTTTTAAAGGGCAAAAGTGACCTCTACATCGACTTCTTATACATCATACTGGCTCAAACGGCTCGGAAGAAGTCCAAATTTCCAGTATTTCACAAAGAAATCGAAGGAAAAGCTAATCATAGAAGGACGACCGGAGATTCAAGGGGTGGTGTAAGGACCACAACTTGGCCCTGAATATTGGCATATGTCTAGGATTTCAATGTCGACTTTCAAAGCCGAGCATCATCATCATTCACTTCCATTCTATGAGGTTTTATCTTATGCCGCTTTATGCATTCAAGAAACAAATCATATTTTCAAGACTTTCCCTATATCTGCCTACAGAAGCTGACCGCATAGACTCGAACTCTGAATTCGCGAAGGAATTTGAGAGAAAATCATGATGCATTTAACAGATTCTGCTTTTTTCATATCTACGCCTGAGAATGAAAGGCTGAAAGAAAGAAACCCCTTTGGCACGCGCTACCCGACTCTCGTCTTATCTTCCCATAGGCATTCATCATTCATGCTATCAGATTAGCAAAGCCTGACTCCCAACTTAAACGAAGTTCCTCAATGATTTTGAAGATTTTCTTGCGGTCGAAATTGATATGAAGCATATGCGCTGAGAGTGTTGGTATTTGCTATGCAGGCTGTTTGTTATGATGACAGTCACCTAATTCGTACCCAAGCTAACTATAAGCCCTCCTCAAATCCGTTCGGTATCTTCAAATCAAACGTCGTTTTAAATTACCGATTTGTACAAACGGTATCGCATAAACCAGAGTTCGCACGGACCCAGTTTTGAGCCAGTCTATACAAACTGGCTTTGAACCAAACGAGCCCTAAGTGACAGAAAGGACTGGGAGCTAGGACCAAAATACACAATTCAAAATAGAACGTACCAAACGCGTTAACAAAGGTTACCTAGCACTCCAATACATCGTGGTATGGGATATCATACGAGCCAGTGAATGTTTTTGTCTTACTTGAATTTCGAGATGTATGATATTTTCTCGCTCGAGTTGATGTCTGTTCTGACAAGGCGGAGATGACTAAGCAAGAATATCAGCCTCGCCACCAGCCACTTTCAGCCTTGTTGCCCATATAGCTCAACCCCTCAATTTCTGGATACATCAGAAACACAACTCCGAACCAAACATCCTCGTACTGTAACCGGGACAATGAGCACCAGATCTGCGAGTCATGCTGGCTCATGGTACTCTTCAGGCAAGGACAAGCTCTCCAACGAGCTCGACCAGTGGCTCGCTCAGGTCCCTGATTCGATCGATGGAACACAGCTGCCAGTCGCAGGCGCAAGAGTCATAATTGCGCCGTGAGTGAGCTTGTCTTGTCTCTCCGTCTATTCAAGCTCTTGTACTAAGACTGCGAAGACATGCAGGCTATTCATACTCAGGTCCTGCTGCGGCGTGGGCATACAAATCCCTTGATCTTTCAAATGCCCAACGCATCTTCCTCCTTGGCCCCTCGCACGCTCTTTACCTCCCTGGCTGCGCAACATCGAAGCACTCACGATACGCTACACCGTTGGGAGATCTAGTAATCGATACCGAAATCGTGAAGAAGTTGCAGGATACGGGGAAGTTCGAGAAGATGAGCACAGACGCGGACGAGACGGAGCACAGTCTTGAGATGCACCTTCCTTACATCTACAAGTTGTGCTCGCAGTCCTTCAATTCACCAGCCGAATTCCCTCCTATTGTACCGATACTCGTAGGAAACACAAGTGCCACTTCAGAGAAGGCGTACGGAGATGTTCTAGCGCCATACCTTGCGGACCCTACATCGGTCTTCATAGTCTCTTCGGACTTCTGCCATTGGGGTCTGCGGTTCCAATACACATACTACCTCCCAGCTTCGCCGTCAGCGGCTGCGGGCACAGCTGGTGGATATTCCCTGAAACAGCGACACGATGATCCTACCGATCCTCCCATCCATGAGAGCATCGGCCGGTTAGACAAACTTGCGATGGATGCTATCGAGACTGGCAAACATGATGTATTTTTGGGTAATTTGAAAGAGACTGGCAATACAGTCTGTGGAAGACATCCGATTGGTGTTGTCATGGCTGCCATCGAGGTCTTGGAGAAAGAAGGCAAGGTCTCTCCCGAGGGGAAGGGCAAGTTCAAATTTGTCAGATACGAGAGGAGCAGCGAGGTAGAAGAGATCAGTGACTCATCGGTCAGCTATGCCAGTGCATATGCGGTGCTTTGAATCAATCAGACTTGAAGCTAGGGAATCATATGGCCTTGTCTTTCTCCCTCCTCCCTCTGTTCATAAATGGATACTTGGGCCTGAGTCGGGTCTTTAGCTTCATCTACTCTCAATCACAAGGATTTTTCAAGAGCCGTCATCCACCCATCAGCTAGTAAAGCTGTCAGTAATCTCGAAAACAGCAACCAGCTCGCTTGAAGTGATGTTACCTATATGCATTCGGCTCTTCTAAAAAGAAAGGGAACCTCGCTATCTGCACTCTAAGTATCATGGTGGAAATTTCTGAAATCTTGTCTTGAGCGGCCTGTGCTATTGTTTGGGTGCTACATGTTTCGTGCTCTAATGAAGCTCAAGCATTTTCGAGGGCTATATATCGAGATAATTGCCGATTATTTCGAAACCGGATATCACAAAAGCGCCACACCACCACACGCTACTCTCTCCCATTATCATCTCCTCTGAACGTGCGAGGGAAGTAAGCCCCCGCCAAACTATCCTTTCTCGGGATTAAAAGATAATAGAGCTCCTTTGATATAAGCCCGCTGCACGTGATCTAAAGAAACACATCGCATCCTGTGCGAAGGAAGGTCTTGCGCTCGAGGACGGGACCGAGTCAGCCAACTACCTATGCTGGCCAATACCGGACCAATGAAGTCTGCATCGTGATCAGCGTCGGCGAGTGCGAGACGGATCAGGCGGAGTATTTGCGGATTGCCGAGATGGCGGGCGATGGAGCGATGGAGGAGCAGGCGCGAGGCACGTCGGCCGGATTCTTTCTGGAGAAGGCGGATCGGAGTTTGAGAAAGCTTAAGGCAAAGAGCTCCGGTCAGTGGAGGAAGAGGAGTTCGTTGATGGTGATGGTTCATGAGCACGTGGCAAGTTTTTAATTTTAAAGGTCAGGATGACCGGCATTCAAGCTGATCAGCGCTTTTCATTCATTATCCTAACGTCGTCCTGGTCCGGCACTGCACCGTCCCGAGAGGGCCGCGACCTTCCGGAGCAGAGCCCGCATCACCATCACCATCAGCCCCTCAACGCAACACTTCGTGTGCCTAGATTAAACTAGACTAGACTAGACGAGCGAGTATCAGCACGACTGACTGACGTCTTCTCCGCCATCAAAACCCTCGACCGAGCGGCAGAGGATATACATGTTATAAATACATACCGAAAACAAGCTCTCCATCCCGATTCTCAATACGCTCCGAGAGATTGATATCGCAGGCGACGGGCTCACCCTCGACATTGCTCAGCTCGCCGCGGAGAATGGGGAGGCCGTCCTCGCCGCCCTCGCCGCCCTCGATGCCGAAGCTGAAATTCTGGCCCGAGTCGGAGAAGCCTATGTGTGATTCAGTCAGCCATTTAGCCTCTGTCAGAAAGCTGTTTCCTTGTTTTTTCCTGTGGTAGGGGGGAAGAAGAGGAAAGCATGTTGCATTGTAATGCTATGCTGCTGCTCCTGAATGGCTGGCTGCCTGGCTGGGATCGTAGGTATATATGGATAGAGCTAGCTAGCCTAAGCCTACCTTGACCTCCCCATTCAAATCTGCCTGCGTGCATGATGACATGTTAGTTGGAGTTGATGCATATCATAGCTTGATGTGAACGAAAAGTGGCAAGGAGCTTACCGTCTTGGTTACCAATGCAGTTGTCGAGATCGAGTTCGGCCTCGACGGGCTCGCCAGCGGCATTGGTGAGGGTGGCTTTTAGGATGTGGTTGTCCTCGACGCGGACATCCTGAGCGGAGGCGTGGAAGGACATGTTGAGTCGAGACTTGGAGGAGGAGGAAGGAGAGAAGAAGGCTTTGAGGATTGAAATTCGTTTTTGGTTGTTAGTGTATTGTGTTGTGTTGTGTTGTGTTGAGAAGAGGTCTTGAAGGGGCGGCTGACTTTTTCAGTGCTATTGAGCGAGTGAGTGAGGAAATAGAGAAGTGAAGAGCGGCTGGACTTGTGATTGATCTTTATCTCCTGCCTGCTTGTGAATTACTCCCCTCTTCCGGACGCAGGCTCTGTTCGGTAAAGTTCAACGCAACTCGCCCCGACACTTCACGTCACTTCACTTCATCATAACCCGGGATACTTTGAAGTTTTCCCGTCCTGTCCCTTGATTCCGTGTATGTACGTATCAGCTGGACAAACCAGTAAGCCGCAATATCTCCTCCCAAACGTCCAGCACGAATGAGCTTCTGCCACATAGGTATCGACCCTCACATTTGCCAAGACCGGTGCAATGCATTGCTCGAGGTTCAGCTACAGCAAGAGCGGCAGCATACATATCTGTTTCCACAACGCAGTGACCGCCTGCGGGCTTTTCTACAGGATCATATCACTTGTCTCGTCGACGATGTTCGTTCAGAAAGCAGAAACGCAATTCAAAGTTTAATGTGTGTTTGATGATTTAATAATCGCTACATCAGTCAGTCCAGCGGAATGATCCAATGAGGTGTGAGGGCCAAAGGGATGCAAAATGCCAAAAGACATACGCAAAATGGCAAAAGACATACAACAGCAGGTATTCGCTGGTGGTCACCCACCCAACTACTAATCTGCCGATCTGAGGCTTGTGTATGGCAGAGCGAACGGGATGCCCAATTCTCCTCAGTCTATGGTCGTATGTATCTGCTTGCCATTTATATGGCAATATATTCGTAGCAAAAGAATTGCTTTGGAAGCCTATATCCTTACTTTATATTTGTTGCACGTGAATACCACTTTAGGACTTGGTGGCATCTCCCCCCCCCCCCCAAAAGAGCTTTACCAAGTGTTCCCCGACGTTGCAAACGACAAGTCGCATTCGGAGCACGCAAGGCAGAGGATGGAGAGTTGTTTACAAGCTGCGTGGGATACGGTGGATCAGTCGTTATTCGATAGCTTGTGTAAGAGTATGCCGGATAGGATTGGGGCTTGTAACGCAGCTGAAGCCTGGCATAGTAAGTATTAGGGTCCGTGCGCACTCGAATAATCACGCTGAAAACTGGGAACAAGAACAGAGATCCAAGGAATCGAATGGTATCATTCTTTGTAATATTTTAGTTGGTGATTGTTACGCAATTGAGAAGTGATGGTTGAATGGCTAAAGTGGATTCTGATGTTCTCGCTTAAGTGGCCGACGGCAGTTACCACGGTACAGGCCTAAGTATTACCCCTCAAGGATGCCTCAAAAGTTTAGTTTCCACTTTAAACCCCCTGGTTACCCTACCCTCGAGGGGTAATACTTACGCCTGGGACGTAGTAGTTGCCTAGGTAGCAATGTAATCCGAAATTCGCTAGGTTATAGGAGTGAGCACGATTGCCTAGCAGCATGATTGGCAACGCCCAGTCTGGGATATAGCCTTCAGCTTCCCGGTTTTGAGGTCGGATAATCGTTCAGCGTATTTATGCGTAGTCGGAAGCAGTCACCGAAGCGCCGATTGGAAGAACCGCTGCACAGTATGTCCACTCACAGGAGATGCAACCCTATTCGGCAACTGTCTAACACTCAATATACAATCACTTTCTGAGGTATCTTCTTCTCCGATGCATTACATATAAAGCTATTCGGATGTCTAGTGAGCTGTCTCAGATAAGTCTAAACGACTGTAGTTTGACCCCTCTTTGTCTCAAAGCTTCAGGCGTTAGTCTAGGATCTCTCGATTTCTTCCAATCCGGCCTCTCCACCCCCCTCATTGCTTGGAAGATTAGTAGCCATGTTTTCGTATACACCATGCGAATGCTCTGTAGGGCGCGCCTTCAAGCGCCAACTTGGAGGCAATGGACCCGGCCTTGAATCCTCGGTGGATCTGGTCCCTTCGCTCACACATACTCGACGAAACCTCTTTTTTTCAGTCTCGAATTCGTCATGACAAGACGTCCCTTCTGGTAATGGACCCAGGATTTCCTCGCCTTCGGAATACTCATCGATGTAGGATGCCCCAACAAATTCATGCTCTTCACTCTCTAGCGAGTGTTGCCGGAGGAGGATCAGCGTATCGCAGCCAAGGATAGCACATACGAGATCTCCAGTACGTAGATAGTCAGGGCCGAGGCGCATGTAGCCACTGGCAGCCTGAAATAAGCACCGTCCTTCAGCCATCGCGTCAGCAATTCAGTGGTCTTTCTTCTCGCGTATACAAAGACTGATAAGTGATCGTATGCTAGGTCGTCTCGGCTCGAGGATCCCTCACTGCACAGGGCGCGCAGAAAAGATTTGGTAATGGAATCCCGTCTAGTCTCACTCCGGTCCGTCGTCCATTTGCTCCACGTCACGTTGATGAATTTTATCACCTGCTCTAGAGGTCTTTCCTCTGCCACGTCAAGCTCGGACATAGAGTATCGTTCTTTTACCGGATCGATATAGACACCGAGTACTTCGAGAACGTCGTCACCATCATTTCGTACCTCGCAGTAGGTATCGGATGCAGATCTCAGGCCTCTAAAATGTTGCGCATTTCGGCTCGGAGTTGCCCAATCTGGAACTCACCTTGGGCAGTCCAGGTTTGCTATTTCGTAATTGGACAGTATATTTGCATCTCCCAGAATCTAAAGCTGCTTGAAAGTAGTTTCTTGGTAGACCTACCTGACCGAAATCGTGTGGTAGTCTGCAGATATTAGGAAGGGTGTGTTTGAAATACCCAAGAGCGCGTAGATTCGATCCCGGGGTCACCGCGATTGCAATTTTGCGACTGCTTAGCGAGAGACCTCCAAGAACTTTCCACTCTTTTTCCCATAGTACCTTGAACCTGTATGAGCGCCTTTCTCATGATAGAATCTCTGATGGGTATCCTTTAAGAGGACACTAGTTCGATGTTAGTAGATGGATTGAACGTCGAAGTTTTGGTAGAGGAGTTTAATTGTTGGTACACAGGTGTTTGATAGTACTATCAGTTTGGGTATTGGTTGTGTTGTTGATGTCTGGTATTGCTATACTAGTAGTGGCGGTCCCTTAAGGGGACCGCGGGCGCACGTGCCACCCTCACGTGCTAAGTCCATTATTACCTTTATCGTCCCTTCCATTCTTATCCGTCGTTCCTTCTATTCTTGTCCGCTGCATGGCTGGTGTACTCCGACACTGGCAGTTCTTTACTTGTTGAAAGGAACGCTCTGATTATACTTATACAAATTCTTGCGTCCCGAAGTTTTGCCGAACTTCTTCCCTTATTACTCTCGATCTACCTATCCCTCAATACGCACTTCTAGCGTATTGCAATCGACGAAGCTTTCTAAAGCTTTGTTTGGATTTGCTTTGGTCATATGGTCAGCTGGATTGCTCTTCCCGTCAATCCAGCGTATTTCGGCGATCTCCTTGCGCTCGTAAGATTATCGTAAGGCTATTACATCGATCATGAGCCTCTTTTCTTTGGTTGTGCCGAGCTTTACTAAACACTCGTAGAGTGAGTAAGAGTCGGTAGCTACTACCATTAGTATCTTTGGTAACGAGAGCTATTCGGTGATTTGATCTAAAGTAGTATTTAAGGCAACTGCAATGTCCACTCTAGCCACCATTCCGAGGATTTTTAAGGCTAAAACACTCTTAATAACTCTTTTACTTTTCGTAGAGCTGTAGTGCATTACGTTGCCTGTGACCTTGAAGGTCTCTTCGGTCGTACGTGTTTCGTTTCCTAAGATAATCACGTACCTAAGTTAGCTGGATAGATCTTTGTTGTTTGCAAAAGAGCTATCTACGAATACAAAAAGCTTGGCCAAGCGAAGGTCGATAAAAACGTATTTTAGCCTTTTGCTTTAGTTGCTAATCATCTATTAGAGGCACTTATTAAGGGCTGCCACTTCGTCTTTACCGGGGTCTTTGTGCTAGGCTGCTACTGAAAGAGCAAATAAAGCTTTAAGCTAGCAGGTGGAAGCAATATATGCCCCGCGTGCGCGCTGCTCGAGGTACTCTTGCTTGTAGTTCAGTTTATCGGAGACGAGGGCGAGCTTCTAGCCTTGCTGTTTTTGTGTAAAGAGCATAGTATCGTCCTTTTGTAGCCTTAAAATACAGCTATTGAACCCAATGTCGGTGGTATAAGTCAGCTTGGTCTCATCCTTAGCTTTTAAGCCGGCCTTCTTGAGTTCTGACCTTTCTTTGGCTGCAAATCGATCGTCGGCGAAGTAATAAGTGTCGTTTACTTGCATCCTTACGAGCCCAAACATGCTTTTCTCAATACAAATTAAGAGGCAAAGGTCGTAAGTCGAGGTGACTGTAGATAGCTTCTTTTTGTGGTAGGTGTAGTATATTGATCACCAAAAGGTACTTGCTTTAAGAATCCCATAAAGTGCTTTCCGGATCTTTATGATTGTTCTTTCGAGGTAAAACTTTACCATTTCCTTCGGTAGGCGTGCTAGAATGAGCCTATTCAATAGGTGTTCGCTTTGAGTATAAGCTTGCGTAATATCACGAAAGTAGAGGGAAATTCCTAGTAGTAAGAGTGCCGGCGCAAGTGCCGTAATAAAGCGTTGGCTCGAGCGTTGTATAGCAAAGGATTAAGTAAGAATCACTCCCTTCCCTTCGTCGGCGAAAGCTTGTATAACGAGCCGTGACTTCTCGAATAAGGTCGCTGTTTCCTTGCCTTTGAGCTCGTTGACAAGGCGAGAGCCAAAAATACGCTCTCCTGCGTGTTTTATAAGGTCGTATAAGATGAATTCAAATACGCCTTGTGCAATCAAACTTTCGATCTCACGCTGCTATGAGTCCTCGAAAATCTCGCTAAGAATGGTAATCACACCTTCGGCCCGTAGCTTCGTAGCTAGCTCTTAGTCTGTTTGCTTTTTCCGAGTCAAGAAGGTGTCACTTAAAGCGGTAAGAAATTGCGCTAGCTCCTTAGCTTCCGTGCAGTAACGCTTTGGAGGTCGTCTGTTTCTGCTACTTCGACGTGGCGCCTCCTCTACTTGGTCTACTAGTGGTCCTTCCTCTTCGGGACGCTTTTCTTGGGCAGTATTTTCTTGGTAATATAGCTTGACCATCGTAGCTCTGAATTGAACTGCTTTGTTGTTAACTTAGACCGTGCACGTATGGCTTTCTATTGCAATAAAGGTGTAAGGGCCGGTCCATTGCGCGCGCTGGTCCCTTTTCTTTTCTCTTTATACTCTTACCTGGCTTTGCAAGGGGAGAGCCAGCGTCTCAATCGTAGAAGGGCCATTGCGCATATTTAGAGCGTCTGCCACTTGCCGTACAGCTTGCAATCTTCTTACTTCTGACATAGCCTTCTTAATAGCTTCTGTTCTAATAGTAATAAAAAGGGCTGGTAGGTCCAAGTGAGTCATACGGGGGTAAGCATCAAATACGAAGAGAGTAAGTATTAAGCCTGCTAGCCCGGCGGTATCGTTAACGGCTTTGATTGCTATCTGCAAGATCTGTTTTTTAGTCACTCTTAAGTCTTGCATCTCTTCCGAGATGATCTCGTAAGCCCGTCGTAAAGGTTAGTGGTATCTTTCTACCTTTCTTACGCTATTGTGGGCCTCCGTAAGCATCTCACTGATATCGATAGATATCATCTTAGCTAGACCGCGGAACTTAGCTGCTGCAAAGTTCGTTCTTAAGTCGTGAATAATCAGGTCGAGGGGACCGAGGTAGCTATCAATCCAGCATTCCTTGAGCGCGTTCTAAGTAGTGATAGCCGATATGTCCTTTAAGAAGCGCCCAGCTTGAAAGGTAATCGCTGAGTCGACGACGTGTAATACTGGTCTGCCGTTTAAGTGCATCACGTCTACAATGATAAAGTAATTGAACTTTAAGTCATCTTTCAAAGTGAACTTATATCGGCTCAAGGCTACACTATGCATTTGACATTGATAGCAGAACCTCTCGATCTTCTTTAAGGTATCGAGGTCGACATTATCGTGACCGCTAAGGTCAAGAACCTTTTGCAAGCGTAGAACAGATAAATAGCCGAATCTGCGGTATAACTAGCGTAGTTCTTGTTCCGTAAGGTGCGCGTCCGCAAAAGCGTCTTCAGGTTGTAGCATAAGGAATGGGTGGCCTTATTTACGAATTACTAGAATACGCTTATTGCTTTGGACGAGCATATTGTCAAGATTGTTGTAATAGACCTAGAGTCGGTCTATATCTTCGAGTGAGATGAGGAAAGGGGTCCCTATACTAATAATGTGGAATTCGATTGGTCCAAGGGGGGTATTTACTATTACAGAGCCTATAATACGTATAGTATTGCCTCCGAACTTAATAGTATTCTTATCGGCCGTTCCTCGGTTGATTCGAAAAGGGAAGAGCTTGCTCAAAGCCTTAATTTGTTGCTCTCTTGCAGTGGAAAGGTTTGCTGCTTTAGAATCGGGGATAAACCTTTAGAATTTACAAGCCGAGTATCGGTCGAGTAAAAAGTGCTTTAAAGGAACGATATTCGAAGGTGGCTTGAATAGGTCGATAGAAGTAAAGGTGTGATAGGTTGCATTTTCGAGCAACGCTACTATCAAGTGTTGGCCGTCAATAGTTCTTAATTTAGTAAAGAATTAGGTTGCGGCCGCTAATTGTTAATCAAGAGTGATCTAGAGTTGCTAGTCGAAGCCTTGTACTCCTTCAACTTATACGAGGTAGTGAGTATACTCTTTAGGTCCTACGTCCTCCGTATAGTATTAAGCTTAGCGTCTCTAGTTATCGTAAGATTTCTTACGCTCTTCGCTACTATGCTATGTAGAAAAGTGACTTAGCTCGCCGCAAACAAAACAGCGTTTGTCAGCGCGATTAGCACGGGTTGTTCCTCCTCCTTTGCTACTACCTCCGTAGTTGCTTCGATTACCTTAGCCGCGATTGCTGATCCGATCATTTCCTCCTCTAGTATAGCCTCTGAAGCCTCTATTGCTACTACCGTTGTAGCCACGGCCTCTATTGCTTCTACTGCCTCTGTACTGGCGGTCCACGTAGTAGACCTCGTCTTCGTATTAGTCTCTTGACTCGGTAGCATCGATAAGGTAAGCGGTGGAAGGTCTGGTCGTCGTAATGGTAGCAATCGATGATCGTAGCTAAGAAATAAGGGCGGTAGTAGTAAGTGCGGGATTATACTAAGCAAACGCATATTCAAAGACGCTTTGTACGGCGCTTAAAATCACGTCTTTCAAAGCCTTATCGGAATAATATTCGGAGGTCAAATTGCGCTAAATGAAAGAGAGCTTCTTGACCATTAGCGTAAGGCACTCCGACTTATCTTTATCAGCGTTCTCTTTAAGACTCATCACTGATTGAAGTGTAAGTGATCTCCATTTCGACAAGTACTTTTAAGCAGACTCCGGAACTTCAAACTTGGACTTCATGAATGCAGTCATTATCTAGAACTCTATGTCTTTGCCGTAGATATTAGTCATATAGTATTAGTGTGCGTCGTCCTTAAGCATCAAAGAGAAAGCTATTGCGTAGCCCACCTCATCGCCTTAAGGGATGCCTAAGCGTGTGCAGTTTTCATAGAAAATCTTAAGCTTATCGGTAAAGACTTCGTATTCAGCGCCCTTATATTTCTTCTCTATGTCTTAGTATACCTTCGAAAGGTCACCAATCTGTTTGACGTAGTCGCTAGTTCTTGCTCGAGGTGGTTTAAGTAATCTGACGTAAAAGGGAACGGTTGTGTTAAGTGGTAAGAGGATCTGGTATTCAGCATTGATCTCCTCACTAAGGGTTGGTACCGAAGTCGGGAAAAGACGTGTGGTTGGCAAGGCAGCGGGGCCTCGAGTGTTAGAAGGGTCACCCAATGGTGTGCGGTTGGTACCTGTAGCTAGTCCCTTTTGCTCGATTATAGGTTCGATTGCAAGGTCAGTTGTGAGCTCGATTACAAGTGTAAGTGTAGTCGCAGGCGCCGCCGGTGTAATAGTAAGTACCGTTATTGCTTTATCCTTAGCGTGCTGCTTCTGCTTAAGTGCCATTTTCTTAGCCTCTTTGACCTCTTGTTCCGCGATGATCTTGTTCTTAGCATCCTCATAGACAGAAGTCCATGGCTTTAGCTCGTCTTCTTGGCCTAAAGCGTAGAAGATTGATGCTTAAGAGATACCTTTAGCTGGTTTGACTTACACTCTACTTATCACGAAGTGTTTTCGAAGCTAGCGGCAGATCGATCGGTGAGCGTGTCGCTATATCTCAGTCGTCCATCCATCAAAATCTTGTAAGAAGATCTCAAAAAAGGACTCTCTTTGCTTGCTACTGTACGTGTCTTTGTAGCTTTCCAAACACATAGCGATGTAGCCATTGATTGTAGGGGGGTCTATAACTTGGGCGGGGTCAGTAGGGTCAAAGTCATATCCTTAAGTGAGAGGGTTGATCTAGCACTTTAGTCTTGGTAGTACAAGTCTAGCTGATACGTTCGGTGTGGTCGAATGGACGGACATATTGGCAGCGAATTCGTGTATGAGGGAGGGAATTCGTAGTAATTGAAGGTGAGAAGGTGTAGTAGATCTGCTAGCTTGTCAGCCAAAAAAACAGTTCTCTGAAAAAGGTAAGAATCGTGCTCGCAAGGAGTTGTCCGCTTTTTAGATCTTTCTCGCGCGTGATAGACGCAATCGATTCTTATAAAAGGGTTGTTCGATTCTCGATTCCTAGCCGAAAACCGGTAGTAGGTATCGTTAGCACAAGATGAAAAGCGAAGTTAGTGAAAACTCCTTAGACTTAATCTTATCTCTTCTGGACCTTGCGAATCTGTGGTTTATTCAACTATTGATCAGTGTTGGTACACAGGTGTTTGATAGTACTATCAGTTTGGGTATTGGTTGTGTTGTTGATGTCTGGTATTGCTATACTGGTAGTGGCGGTCCCTTAAGGGGACCGCGGGCGCACGTGCCACCCTCACGTGCCAAGTCCACCATTACCCTTATCGTCCCTTCCATTCCTATCCGTCGTTCCTTCCATTCCTGTCCGCTGCATGGCTGGTGTACTCCGACATTAATCATGACCCGCGACAGCGAACGACAAATCATTAGCCATATGCATCTCCTGCCATGCCCATACTCTTCCCCCAAAAAAGGCCGTTGAAGTAGACTCGGGCGAGCCTGGATGTCTATAGAGTATCCGACATGGGGATCGCATCTGAAAGAGGACTCGAAGTGTGAAAATTCCTGCAAAGCTTCCGAACTACGCATCATTTCCGGTCCTACCCATATCAATACTTTGCTGTATAAGCAAGAGGATTCTCTAATCATGAGAATTTGTTGACGACGTTCTTCCAGGTCCTGCATGTTGATACAAATGGCATCGATCCACAACACACGATTGCCGGTTTTGAATCGAAGGTAAAGTAAAGCTTCGTAAATATTTCTCGTGACTGGATACGGAGAGCCCTGGACAGTGATGGATTCTGCGTAGCGCTGTTCTTCCCAAGCATGAACCAGAGCTCCAAACTGAGGGGAATGACTCGGGTCCCAGCGAACGCTCGAGACGGCTGCATTGATGGAATCGTCAAGGGCTTCTGGGAAGAGAGTAAGTAGCTAGGATTCATTCCTCTCCAAAGGAGAACAGGGGTATGAAGCTCCTGATCCAGTTCTTCCTCTAACTATCCGACGGATCACAGATCTCCGCTTCGTAGCTACCGAGGAACTAGGACGAGGGAGAGAAGCTGAAGGTGAGCGGGCGTCGGGGTCTAGTATTGTGAAAGGCTCGGATCGTGGCTGCAATGTCTCTTCCTTGCTAGCATTCGATGGCTTGCCTCCTGTGAGGAGGAGACTGTCATGTAGTATGCGCCTCGATCCTAATAGATTACCCTGGAATAGGACGCTACCTTGGCCCTCAATAGCATGCATTGAATTACAAGCATGAAGAAAGTTTCGGTAACATATACTCGTAAATATCTTCAACCCAGAATCGAGGCATTTTATCTGCAAGCTCCTTGAATGTCCGTACAAAGTAATGCGTGAAAGAGTCTCTGTAATATGGCGTCTGTTATTCCGGGCCCCAGGCGACAAGATACTCCCTAATTGGACTCTTCTGCTTGACAGGCTTGTCATCGGACCTGGGAGGTATAATTAAGCTTGCGTAACAACAGTCAAGTATAACGTGCATGTCGCGGTGAGGAGACTATTCCAATCTACATCTGGACTACTGAACTCGTGTTTTGGCTGATATGGAGATTAGCAAGCGTCAACCTCAGTATCTGGTAAGAATGCATACGATTAAACCCTTTGCGTATCCAATCCACCGTGGGTAGTGCAAGTGCAAACATCCGCGTTCCTTAGAGCTGAAACCGCCGTAATAAAGATGTCAAAGTATTATCCCTATCAATTGAACGAAAGAAGTCGAAGACTTTGGCCATCAGTACTTTTTGGGATTGAAAACTCGGAGTTTGGAAGATTTCCAGGGGAAACCCCAGATCAACGAAAGTTTCGTGGACTCGTCAACGGTCTTCTTCGATAAGCTTTCGCTCCTCCTAGCCCTCAGGGTCGTCTTGCTGCCAGCCGATGCTGATCGCCTGTGCCTGTACATACTCTCTCAGACCTTTGAGCACTTTGGTACTGGTAGTGGCAATTATTTCCTGGCATTGGTCCCAGATCCTGTCGGGGCTTGATCTTCGGCCAACTTCAGAGAGCAACATGTCGTTTCCGGCCAGGTGCAGGACTTCGTCGCTTATAGGGTACGAGTCTACAGACGCGGCTGGGAATGTTTGTATAAAGTCCTGCCGGGCCCAAATTCTACTTCGCACGGAGGCCTCGAGACTTCGCAGTTCGGTATCCACATCCCATACTTTCTTATAATTTAACAGGGTAGGATAGCCACCGCGAGCCCGAATTGCCTCTTCGCTAATTACGCATCCCAAGAGCCAAATTTGTTCTTCCACTTCCTGGGTCACCCTTGTGGAATGAAGCTCCCTGGCAGTAATTTCAAAGTTATACACACGACGTCAGTCAGGTGATTTCGATTCCATGGAGCCGATTGTACGTTTTAGGTAGGAGTCCTTCGGGGAACCTATTTTCATTAGAACAGACTGGGCTAGGACTGGAAACACACCGGAGGAAAGCTAGGTAGAGGAATTATATACAAAGTACCATCCAATCGAGAATAAAAACCACGTTGAGGAAAAGCTCTCTTTCAGATAGCGCTGGGTCTTCAATCCCGCGATATCGCAAACTCCTTATAAGCCCCATAAAAGCATTTCAAATAATTTGCCCCAAGTTGTCTCTCGGTAACTGTCGAATACGTTCGGATAGGTGTGGCCCTACGGGCGGCCTCGATCCGTTTACTCCGTAATAAACGGAATATGTTTATTTTAAGGTTATAACAAACTTCGTATACACGGTGTATACTCGGTGTAATCGGATGAAATTTTTTTTCCGGTGTCAAATCGGTATCAGCCCGGTGTCCACTGACCTGATCAACCTTAACCTTTACGGAAGGTGATTTGACAGAAACAGTTGCTTATAAGGTTATAGGGCTAGCTGCGACGTGCAATAAAGCTAAGCTCATCGTTACTTAGGTAGATCTACTAATCAGCTAGTCACTCCGACTGGTCCGCCTTTGCTTGCTGATAGACGATACACGAGTAAGCCACGTAGAATATATGAATAATGTTATCACTCAGCTAAAAGTGAGAAAGATTTCTTTCATCCCGATTTCAGCTGTGTTTTCTTTTATCGTTGGCCGAATTAGCAATAGTAGCTCGTGGCATAAGCATTGCGAGTCGAAATTTCCCTCTTGGATTCTTCTTTGGCCTTTCGGCCGCAGTAACCGCCTGAGGGTGAAAGTGGCCGCCATCAACTACGGTACCATTGGTATCTGTCACGATGTTCGTGCCGAGAGGGCAAGAGAAAACCATTTGTAATGATTTTACCATTTGCAATGGGTTTACCATTTGTAACGGTATTCTTGGCGCGAAGACTTACAAAAGCTTAGAATTTTCGAAAGTCTTGGTCACCGTTGGCTGTCTCCAATACTCGTGCGGCCAGTAAGTCCTACTACGTCACCATGTGTCGATCTAGTTAAACTGGGGAAAGGGGTTGCAACGCTCTGTACAGAGTATGGCTGGCTACGCCTAGATCTGACTCTATTTTTGGGATGATCTGCGACATGGGAACATACTACTGCTACTTACAGTACTGTTACTGGTCGCACGAGTAAGCATCAGGACTTTGAGTTTACTGTATGAAAAGACTATTTTCGTTAGTAGGGCTTGAATGCAACAAAAAAGCTTAACAGGATCCTCTAGAGCTTCTCATTCGCGAGGAGCACCGCTAAGCTACCACCTCTTCCAAGAAAGGGAGTTGGGACGATATCTTGCACCGATTTACCTCAATGCCGGACGCTCCAGCAACTGACCTACCAGGGTAAGTATTGTCTTAATCCGAGGCTCTGACAGTTACCAATTTTCGGCTTCAAATAGACTATTCTTCTCCTGGCTGCCGTAAGTCAATGTAGGTAGGTCAGCGTGGGTCTACGTGAGTCCGTAGCCGTAGGAGCCAACAAATTGACGTAGAGCGAATTAACTACATGGTGCACCGCTCACTTGGGACGATCCCTAAGGAACGCTACTAGCTACTTTTGAAGATCCCTAAGGAACGCTAGTAGCTGTACCGAGGGTCTCCGCATTCCTAAAACTCTTGTTTTCTTGCTTCCTGCTTAATCGGCGGCTCGCTTCATCCTTTCAGATTTGAGTTATCTGATCAGCCATTTTATCTGATCATCGGTCCGCCCCGCCTGCATCGCTAAAATGCAGCCAAGATCCTAAGACTTCTGACCTGAAAACGAGAGCGAGCTGCTTTCGAAAGGAAATTGATGTCGGCGAGGTGATAAGCAGAGCATTGCTATAGAAACTAAACCACGTAGCGCTCGGGGCTGATAGTTTAACAAGGTCGGCTAGCCAGTTTAAATCACTTCTGCATACAAATTCTTTCGGTTTTACAGATTTAATTTGAGAAGTTCGCATTGCATTTGCCTGTGGAGCACGTAATATTGGGATTTAAAGTCCCAGCTTTCGGGCCCTGATAGAACGAGCTCTAGAGGGAAAGCGTATCGACTTTCTGTACTTTGAACATAGATAAAGGTTAACAGCCGACCGGCCCGCGCCTGCCACTTTGTGGAGGTGACACGTTAGCGTAGGATCTCAGTGTCTAATACTGCAGAACTCCACTAAATTCGCTCGCTCTAGTCAAGGTGGCCGATGTCGGTATCGAAGCTTGAATATGGATGTGTACTAATAAGAAGATATACGATAAGAAAGTGGTCAATGGTAGCGAGAAATGCATACATAAGAGAGGCTGTGCCTCCCTGCTATCCAGAACTTACTCCTTAAGTCAATTTTCACTGTCCGAGAAGTCGCCGTTAAGATGGGCACGTCGTTTGAAACAACGCAGGTTGCTCCAGTTGCCGAGCATAGTCCTGAGTCCAGCTACAGTAAGAAGAAACCATCAATTGTAAGTTTATCGATTGCAAATCTCTCGAAGTTCGCGTGGACTAATGCACTATTCCAGTCTGTAGTTCAAGCCGATGACATACCAACAGAGCGATTTGAGCAGTAGGTTATCAAATTATGATCCGCTTGCAATTCGTAAGAACTTGTTACTAATAACATCATAGCAAGCTCAGTGTTACCGAGGATGACTTTTTTCAAGCCCAGGCAGCTGCCAAGGAGTTGGATCTTGAAAAAACCCGCGCCGTATGCTACATAATCACTGTTTTGAAGCTATTCTGAGCTGAATCTCCATCACAGATCATGGTCAATGTCCTTAAGATGCACGGGAATGATCCCAATTTCCCGCTGGCCATAATTGAGAAAATTAGAGAATTTCTTGGCAACGATGATATCCTCAACAACCCTGAGAAACATATGGAAATCATCCAAGAAATGAAGACCGAGGCGGCTCTGATCACCAACAACAGCCCCTATGCAGAGGTCCGTGCGGTTGTTGACAACACTGATGATCCGAATATGCTTTCGTCCACGATCCGTGTTTGGGTCATCGGCCTCACATTCGTTATCATCCTTGCTACCACCAACCAAATGTTTAGTATTCGGCAACCAAGCATCAGTGTGACTTCAAATGTCGCCCAATTGGTGTCTTATCCTCTCGGCAAGGCGGCTGAGGCTTGGCTTCCTGACGTCGGTTTCACGCTCTTTGGTATCCGACACAGCTTAAACCCTGGGAAATTCACCAGGAAGGAGCATATGTTAATCACAATCATGGCGAACGTTAGTTGGCAGACTCCCTACACGGAACTCATAATCTGGACTCAAGTTCTCCCTCAGTTCTTCAACCAATCCTACGCTAGAGGCTTTGGATACCAGATCTTGATCACCTTCGGAACGAATTTCTTGGGCTATTCTATTGCTGGTGCCTGCAGAAGATTTCTTGTCTATCCATCTTAGTATGAGCCGCAGCCCTTTCACTACAGGAACATCCGCTTACCTTCCAAATAGCTGCGTGTGGCCCTCATCTCTCGTCACTATTGCGTTAAACTCCGCGTTTCACAGAGAAAAGAACGAAGCAGTTCCAAGTCCGTTCAGAAGAATGTTGACTATATCTCGTATGAAATTCTTCGTGTTGTCTTTCCTGGCGATGTTCGTTTGGTTTTGGTTCCCAAAGTAAGCGAGCCTCGGCTATTCCTTGGCGCGCCCCAAGTTTGTGCAATTACTGACTGCGGATCATCAAGTTACCTCTTCAAAGCACTGAGTGTTTTCAACTGGATCTCATGTAAGTAGATATCATGAGATTAGGTGGAAGTCCTGAAGAGCTGCGGTACTAATTTGCTTTTGCCAGGGATTGCCCCAACTCACAAGACCTTGAACGCCATCACCGGCAGTAACAATGGACTGGGTTTTAACCCCTGGCCGTCCTTCGACTGGAACCCTCTTCTCTTCGATAACCAAGATCCATTCATGGTACCATTTTTCAACACCCTCAACAAATTTGCAGGCCAGATCATGTCTGGCTCCGCCATGTACGTGAAGCCTATCATCCAAATAAATTTCATGCCTCACTTTCCATCGCTGCCTCACTTTCCATCGCTGTCGACAAAATGATCACTGATAGTCTAGTGTTTTACAGCATCTACGTCTACTTTACAAATAAATGGTACACCAGTTATATTCCAATCAATACTAACAGAGTCTGGGATAACACGGGAAAACGATACAACGTCTCGAAGACTATTGATGCGAAAGGTATCTTCGACCCCGTCAAGTACCAAGCCTATTCTCCGGCTTATCTTGGCGCCTCCAACCTCATGGTTTATCTGTTCTACTTCGCAGTCTATTCGTCGGCCATCTCGTACTGCGCTTTGTACCATCGATTTGAAATCAAGATGGGATTCCGCAACTTGTTCAACAGCTTCAGGAAGGACAGGAAGGAAAACAAAGATCAATACGAGGATATCCACAACAAACTCATGTCTGCGTATCCAGAAGGTTGGTTTTTCGCCTCGATGGTGTCGACATTCTTGATTGCTAACCAGCTATAGTATCGGAGTTGTGGTACCTATGTTGTCTGCTGTTCGCCATCTCCCTCTCAATCGCAGGGATCGTAGGATATCATACCTACACTACTGTGGGTGTTGTGTTTTTTGGTATTGGGCTTTGTTTACTTTTCGTTGTTCCTCTGGGCATCGTCGCCGCCATGACTGGAATAGAAGTGACACTCAACGTCTTGGCTGAATTCATCGGTGGTTCGATAGTGGCTGGAAACGCCCTCGCAATGAATTGTAGGTGATGGTAGCACCCACAGACCTCCTCAAAACCCCCGGATGTCCCCAGGACTGTGTGCTGACTTCAACTATTAGTCTTCAAGTCCTACGGATACGTCACATGTGCCCACGCAATCCGGTTCTCCAACGACCTGAAGCTAGCTCACTACGTCAAGATCCCCCCTCGTCACACTTTCTGCGCCCAAAGTACGTGTTCTCCCGCCCTGTCCAAAGGCTTAGATTACCTTAGAGTCTTATAGAGCATATCAAGACTCCTCACCCTTATCCATAATGACGGTACTGACCCTAAGTCTCGCCATAGTGGTTGCGACTTTCATATCGACATTCATTTGCATCGGAGTTCTCAACTTCCAAATCAGTGAGATCCCAGACGTCTGTGAGCCTGACCAGAAGAACCGTTTCACCTGCCCAGGCCCCAACAAATTTTTCACTGCATCAATCCTATGGGGTACTCTCGGACCCCAGAAGATGTTTGGCAAAAACGGACAGTACTGTGCTCTACTTATGGGGTTCCCCATCGGCCTGGTGCTTCCGGTGATCGTGTACTATGCCCAGAAGAAGTTTCCTAGGCAGGAGTGGTTGAGACAGGTCCACCCCGTTGTAATGATGTACGGATCACTCGCTTACGCCCCGTACAACCTATCCAACGTCTGGCCGGCTGTCCCGCTGGGCTGGTTCTCTATGGTATGGCTGAAGAAGAGATATCTGGGTTTCTGGTCCAAGGTATGTTTTCAACTTGACGGATCTACCGCAAGATTTCCTTCTCACACTTTCTAGTACAACTACATCCTCTCGGCGTCTTGGTCATCCGCCATTGCCATTGCGGCTGTCATCATTTTCTTCGCCCTCCAGTTGTCTGACAGGGAGATTGTGTGGTGGGGTAACACGGTGAGTAGGCAAGGATGTGAGGGTAAACCTTGCACTCGCTTTACACTCGATAAGGGTGAACACTTTGGTCCAGGTGTTGGACAGTTCACTTAGAGAACTGCGGCGTTCACCGTGCCGTTGTTGGAGAAGGGAATAACTACAGATCCTCGAGCTTGCGTTCTGGTTTGGTTCTGGCTTGGCTCTCTGGTATAATCTGTAATGAAACCAGACTTTTCGCAACACCGCCTGATGCGTACCCGGGAGCACTTGATCTTGTTGACTCGCTTAGGCTTTCACCAAGCCGGGATGCGTGACGCTTCGGAGTCGACCCAGCTACACACTACAGCTGCTCTCTGCGGCACGGGAAAATCTGCAACGAAGTCTGGGAGGAGCTGCAGAACAACGACGCGTGTCTGCGAACGCGAAGAAAGCCGTGGGCTTCGCAACGCAGGCCTTCGAGGCTCTCCTCAGCCGGGCGCTCCCCGTGCTCATGAATGCAAATGTCAGGAGACCGACGAATATTACCGGCAACCTGACGCCAGGTCTACGCTGGAGAGGGATCTTTGAGAAGAGCGTCATGTTTAGCGGCGCTGGGAGCGGGTGAGAGGGCTTGCCTGAATGAATTGAGTGAGTTCACGCTTAAGCAGGAGGGTGAGAGATCTTCGCTTGATGTTTTGAATTCGGAGTTGAGATTTCTTTGGTGTATTCGCGTTTTGAAGTCTGGAATAGATGGTTCTACACCACTGCATTTTGGGTCCTTCATTTTTCGGTAGTTTAGGTCTGTATACAGACATGGGAGTAGAAGTGGATGAGTCCGACACTACAGAATTTACTATGTTCCAAGATCAGGTTGGCCATGGAAGTACCGCTATCAACTCCCCACCCTCTCATAGTGATATATAGGTCAAGTCGACATTATCTGTCCTCCAGAAGCAGACAGTTGTGGCTTGAGACGAAAGTCCCAAGTTGGACCTTCATCAACATTAGAGAAACGGTCGCCCAAAGTCGGAATAGAATAAAGGAATCAGACAATCTCACCTGGGCTGCTATAGCTGTTCATTTTCTCTCCAAACGCTTGCCTGGTGAGCTGAGGGAGCATCAAAAAAATAAAGAAACTACTTCAAACAACCTTTACTTACTGATCTTAATCTCAAACCCAGCTTGCAAGCCCGCCTGAGCCCTTTTAACTCCAATTAACCTAACCTAACCGAAAATCCCGAAGCCAAGTTCCCCTCTAGCAGCAAAGAATAAGTACGTATAAAGCGAGTACACCGAGGAAGCTCTTGACTGCAATAAGTAGATATCCATTATTCAATATCGCCAGTCTGCTCCGTCCTCAGCAAACATCTACATAACAGCAGCCACGGAAGAAAAACTCTACCAACCTACGTGTTCGATTACCTGAATAATTCCATGTTGCCTGGTCAGCAACCAAGCACATGCTCGCTTCCCGAACTCGACCAACGATAATCACAAGACGAAGGAGAAAACACGTAGTGGTGGTACACTGACTTCTTGACACGGCATACTCGACAACTATCATACATGACGCGAAGTCTTACGAGATATATGCGCACAATCTAACCTCGCTTCGATAGTATCGTGAGAGACCAAATGCGAGACGAGACAGAAATCATTCAATCCTCTTTTTGCCCTCCTCTGCGTTTGTGAAGCGCGCCGTGCTTAGTCCTCGCTCGTGTCTAGCGACGAGAGCCCCGATGAGTTTGTCCTTGCGTGCGTTGGTGATAGCTTCGTTGTAGCCTTCTGTTGCCCATGGTCTAGGGTTGAGCTTGGGCCAGTTTACCTAAAAATTATTAGCTTCTTATCTTGGGCTGGCTGGCGGCAGAGCGACTTACGTAAAGCATCCCGTGGCTGTAGATGAAGTTCAAACACCATCCTGCAACTACGAACCAGAACACGACGAAGATCCGGACAGGCAGAACAGCAGCGTCAGGGAGACGGGGTGAAAAGGTACCGACGCAAACAAAAAAGATGGCGAAAGCCAGGATGTAAGGAATCGATTGAATAAGAAGTGGTCGTTGATCGGCAAAAACGGGTGTGGAGGAGGAGTTAGGAAGGTAGTTGCCTAGGAAGAGATCGAAAGCATCTTGCTTGGGACCATCACTAAAGTTGTTTTTGATGTATCTCGTGATGGAATTTCGGAGGTCTTGGAGAGCACCGGCTTTAGTTCTCTGTCCGGTACGAGTGAAATCAGTCTTCAGAGCACCGGTTCCTGAGTACGATCTCGATACAATGTCGGCGTTGTCTGCCCAAAGCTTTCGGAAAAGAATCTCGAACTCGGGATCGGAGGTGAAGGTGTCGCCGCGGGAGAGGACGCCCAGATCTGTGAGTTGGCGGTTGAGAGTGTAACGAGCCAGCATGCTTTGGACGACGTTGGTACGATCAAGGCAATCCATGCAGTTGGTACGCACGACGCTGGTTTGGTGATTTCGGACTTCGAGACGACCTTCTAGATCAGCTGGCATGTCAACACCACGGAAGTATTGCTGCTTTTCTAGCGATTCGTGGAGGCGATCCAGAAGAATCTGTGCTCGGTGCCATTGCAGGCCCTTTGTTTCATTGTGAAAATCAAAGTAGACGTAGTGCAGCCGGTCCATCTCTGATCGTCGGCCAGATGGTTCAACAACATGGAACTTCTCATCAGAAAGCTCGTCTTGCTGAGTTCGTTCGGCTGGCGAGGAAACAAGGAGCTTGACCATCTGCTCATATGCCTCCTTGACTCGCATCTCTCGTCCCTTTTGATTGACCAGGTTGACTAAGTAGTTGTCACCATACAGGCGGATCTGTTCCTCGAAATGTAACCTAGCAGACTTGACTGCCGTCTCCACACCTCGGATCTGGAGCTTGGGGGTGTAGTGCAAAGTATTGACCTCAGCCCAGTACACTGGAACGCTTCCTCTGGTCTGGACGTAGGACATGATCTGCACTTCCTTTCCTCCTGTGCCCCCAACCTTGCCATTCTGCATACCGTTACCGCCAGCAAAACCGCCAAGGCCGCTCATACTATCATTCAAGATGATGATCTGCTCCGTCTCGTTGAAATTCGACACATGGCCCTGTTCATCGATTCCCCTCGAGAAGTATCTTGTGCCTGCGCGGTGACGTGACCGCCGAGTAATCAGGACCATTGTCAAGGGAGTTGACTTGACGCTTGTGGAAGCAATCTCAAGCATGCCGAACATGACGGGAAGTATATATGCATCAACACCAGGCTGCTGGCCAGTTTGGTTGCGAGTCCCCGAGGAGCGGAAGTCGATCAAATCAGATTGGATAAACTTGTTCCAGAAGAAACGATCATCGGCTCGTTTCCAGAGAGGGGCAGAATGGTCTATTTGGGACTGTCGCTGGAAGGTGTTTGTGATATCAAAGGAGTAGGAGAAGTACATAGGGCTGGACTTGATGAATGTCTTCAGTAGGCCCAGGTAGTTATCCTCCTCTGGATCATGGAGCGGTCGCTCACGCAAAGGGAGGAATTCCGTGGCAACGACTTTGTAGATCATATGTCCTTTCACTCTGCCCATGGGTTGCGCCTTTGTAATCACAATAATATACTTGTCTGAAGAGCAGTCAGTCCTAGTCTCCTGCCAGCCTTGTAGAATGTGTATAGCATCGTACCCAGTCGCAACTTGATCGTCCCTAGGATACCAGCAATACTCGAAACACGTTTCCCTCCGAGGAGCCCCCCATCATTCAGACGTAGATCTCCTGTCGGACGGTCGACTACCAACGATGGCGCGGAAGGGGTAGAGGGTGAGGTAAAGGCGTAATGCGAGGCGGAGGCATGTACGTTGATGTCCCGGAAGGGTAAGGTAGCCATCATTTGATTGCCCGCCCTGCTTTGTCTGCGAGAATATTTTAGCAGCTACAAGGACGTTGCATGCGAGAGCTAAAGTCGAAGTTAAAGTCGATCTGGTTCGTGGATTTGCGTTGAATGTTGGGATTCGGATTGAGTGCTAATAAAGCTTCCTCTATAGCTGTCTTCAGCTCGAACGTGAAGCCTCGCAGACTAGACAAGGCGATGTGGTGGGGGGGAGTTTAGCGGAACCTGGGAGATATGATAGCTGCACACTGGCCACCATAGCAGGACAAGGATCTAGTTAAGGATAGGTATAAATGCATGTTCAGAAATACAGAAGTTCACAAATTTGATTTGGATACGATAGATAACTGTAAGTGAGATAAAACATTCATTCGTTATGCCACCGGTGTCAAAAAGGCTGACGATTGTTGCAAATCGTATCTCAATACTGATATGCCCGCGTATTTTATATTCCGCCTGCATCAAGCTATGCTCCGTAAACTGGAGATACTGCTCAGAAGATACTAGGATATAGAGATATGAGTATGCTTGCTTATATCTGATCCTAAATTTATAAATACCATCTTCCAACAATAAACAACACTGTAGGGAGCCGTATCGTATCAATATCAGAGGTGGGCTTAGCCGCTGGGAGTCACGTGGGGCAGCTACCACCACTGATTACGATTGCGGCGACCTGACCCTGCTCTGCTCTCACTCCAGTCGAGTCGAAACATCGTCACACATCAAACCGAGCTCTCTCTGCCGTATCAAATCCAACCAACCTTGAAAGTCTCCGCACTCACAACTTCAAACGTCCTCGACTTACAACTCCGAACCTCGAACGAAAGACGTCCCTCTCTATCCCGAACCCGTCAGCTGACCTCAACATGGCTGCTCGAGGCCCAACAGGCACCCGTGGTGGTAACAACAACCGCTTTGCGCAGTTCAAGCTGGTGTTACTGGGTGGGTAATCCGTCTTTGCAAGATCAGATCAGATCAGATTAGACACCCTTACTAACCATCATCACAGGAGAGTCTGCGGTCGGAAAGGTGCGTCTAAGTCTAAATATCTGCTGGGTACTCGGTGTTGATGTCGATACTAACGTCTTAGTAGAGTTCCCTCGTGCTCCGGTTCGTCAAGGTAAGCTCGCCATGTCGCACGCTTGCGGGCCATACCTAACGATGCTTAGGATCAATTTGATGACTTTAGAGAGTCCACAATCGGCGCCGCCTTTCTGACACAAACGATATCGCTCGATGACAATACAACCGTCAAGTTTGAGATCTGGGATACGGCTGGGCAGGAGAGATACAAGTCGCTTGCACCTATGTATTACCGAAACGCGAACTGTGCGGTTGTGGTCTACGATATTACACAAGCTGTAAGTACTGCTAGGTTGCTGGCATATGGCACAGGTGTATACTGACACGCTGTGGTAAAGTCTTCTCTGGATAAGGCAAAGCAGTGGGTGAAAGAACTCCAAAGGCAGGCGAACGAGAACATCATCATTGCCCTGGCTGGAAACAAGCTTGATTTAGTTACTGCCCAACCCGACAAGCGGGCGATCACCACAGCAGATGCCGAGGCGTATGCAAAAGAGGCCGGACTGCTGTTCTTTGAGACATCCGCCAAGACATCAGAGAATGTTCGAGAACTATTCACGTCGATCGCAAAGAAGCTGCCGTTAGATCAAGCTGGGCCACGGAATCCGAGATCGGGTGGACGCGGAGGGGTGGAGCTGAGACCAGAGAACCCATCAACACAGGGACAAGGCCCATGTGCTTGTTAGAGGAGGAGAGAAAGAGGGAGGAGAGCAGTGGGAGTTGTGAGGGGCAAGCATGCGGTCCAGGAGTATGGGTCAAATTTTCATCTTCCAAGGGTTTCTTTAAACGGTCAACAAGATCACCTTCATGGTCCGCTTCGAACGAAGTTGCCGGCTTGTGATCGGGTATCATGGAAGCGGTCGGTCACTTTGAGCCCTTACGAGAGCTTCCTTAATACCTTCATGTGTCTTAGTTTCTCTTTGCAGGGTTGGTTTGCGCAGGATTTGTCCCGCACGGCGCGAGGGTCTTTATTAAATCGTTATGCAGCATTTTGGGTGTACGATATACAATAGAATACATCCAATGGCATTATGGAAATGGACGCGCCCTAAGTTTCACTTTTGACATTGTCTAAACCTCGTATTTTGTATTTTTTCCATGATGTCGTCTAACGACAAGTACACCGGCATTTGCTTTCTTGCACTCGTAGCCTCGCTGATCCCCTCCCGAGAGGATTTACAGTCGCATCATTGGCTTGGCAGGAAGCTCGTCCCAACCCCAAAATATCCCAACCAGCTTCACTCCAACTACCTATACAACAGCAACATCTCACTGTCGCTCAACGCAGCTCGTCATGCTGCGCGCTTCTCTTCGGTCGTCCACGGCCTTGGGCTACAACTCCAGTGTAGCTAACGCCGGACGTCAATGGCACGCGATACAGACAACTCGGGTCGTCTCGGGAAGTGTGGTGAGAGCTCCCCGTGGTGGAATACCCTGAATTGAAGCTTGAATTCGCTCTGACCATGTTATATATGAAAAGAGAGGATATGCCGATATCACAAAACCTAGCATCTCCGACTCCAGACCCATAGTCCTCCCTGGATCTGCCAGCGACGCAACCAGTGAACCACCTCCTCCCGGACCTGTTCCACCCACCCTTTATGACCACAAGACTACATCAGATACTCCCGTTGGAAGCTCGATTGCTCCTCCAGGTGTGGAGGTGAACGATACAGCGCTACCGGCGCAGGCTCCTCCCCCTCCCTTTCCCCCTCCAGCCCCGAAGCCCAAGCGCAAATTCTTCCGGAAGTTCTTCACCTCAGTGTTCCTGCTGGGAACCCTTGGTTTCGCCGGAGGAGTGTACTACAGCAGAGTCAACGACAATTTCCACGACTTCTTCACCGAGTTTGTTCCCTTTGGAGAGGATGCCGTGCTATATTTCGAGGAGAGGGAATTCCGCAAGCGTTTCCCGAAGATTGCGGGCCGAGACACGCTTCCTAGAGAGACTGGCCAGACTGTTAAGATTCCAAGTCAGAGTGGGGTATCGTGGAAGCTTCATGAGGAGACCAAGCCTGCTGCTGGGAGACACGCCGATGCGACCAAACCGGATACATCTAAGCCCAAGGAAGCTCTACAGCAACCTGTGGAGACAAAGCTAGAGGAGAAGGTGAAGGCTGTGGAGACTTCTAAGAAGGAGGCAGCTCCACCGGCTCCGGCCCCCGCCGCTAAATCGCCAGAATCGCAATCTCCAGCTAAACCAGGACACCCCGTTAAGGCTGCTGCATCTTCCAAATCCCCAGAAGCAGTTCCTTTTACACCTCCAGAGGTTGACCAACCTTCCAAGTTCCCACCGGAACTTACAAGAATCGACCCCTTGAATATAAGAGATGCAAATGAGCCGCTTGTTCAGGACCTGGTCAAGATCATCAATGATATCATCACAGTTGTGAACGCGGATAACACAAACAGCAAGTTCTCCAGTACAATTGGTAAAGCCAAGAAAGAGCTCTCTAAGGTGGGAGCTAAGATAAATGCATTGAAAGCTGCGGCTGAGAAGGATGCCCAGGCCAAGATCCGTGCTGAGAAGGCCGACTTTGACCGGGCTGCCAAAGAGCTGATCCGAAGAGTCGAGGCTGAGATGCAACACCAGCAATCAGAATGGCAAGAGGAGTACCAGACCGAGCGTCAGAAGATTCATGAGAGCTACGAACGAAAGCTTAAGGCCGAGGTCCAAGCCGCTCACGAAGTCAACGAGCAGCGCTTACGCAATAGTCTTCTAGAGCAAGCAATCGAGCTGAAGAAAAAGTTCACTCAGGATCTCCAGCAACGCGTGGAGGAGGAACGCAATGGACGTCTCGGCAAGCTGTCCGACCTCACTAAGACCGTCGGCGAGCTCGAGAAGCTCACCACGGACTGGAACTCCGTTGTCGACACGAACCTGAAGACACAACACCTCCACGTGGCCGTGGAAGCCGTCCGCGCAAATCTTGAGAAGAGCCAGGTGCCCCGACCATTCATCAAGGAACTCGCAGCCCTCAAGGAAATCGCCTCCGACGACGCGGTTGTCAACGCAGCAATCGCATCCATCAACCCGATTGCCTACCAAAAGGGCATCCCATCTTCCGCCCAGCTCATCGACCGTTTCCGCCGGGTGGCTAGTGAGGTTCGCAAGGCATCTCTGCTTCCCACTGATGCGGGTGTTGCTAGTCACGCCTCTAGCTACGTGTTGAGCAAGCTATTATTCAAGAAGAAGGGTCTAGCTACGGGTGATGACGTCGAGAGTATCCTGACAAGAACGGAGACGTTCTTGGAGGAAGGCGACTTGGATGGAGCTGCTAGGGAGATGAACGGGCTGCAGGGGTGGGCGAAGACGTTGAGCAGGGATTGGCTTGGGGAGGTGAGGAAGGTGCTGGAGGTGCAGCAGGCCCTAGATGTGAGTTTCCCTCGCGAAAAAAACCACACCTTCGAGGGCCAATTGATGGGTCGAATGGCAGAATGGGGTACATCAGGCTAATCATTTTACAGGTAATCGCTACCGAAGCTAGACTGCAGAGCTTGAGGGTCGAATAGGTCGATAAAACGATACAGCTTTCCTTTGTGCATGCGTCAATACCCGGCGAGGGGTAGGGGCGAAAAAAAGAAGCAAAAGCGGTAGTCTACCGATAGTCTAGTCTAGACTAGCCAGTAGCCGCTAGACTCACCTATTTACTACCTGTACGAGGTGCGATACAAAAAAAACAGAAATTGTACTTTATATCCATCTATATTCGCTCATTCTCTATGTTGTCTAATGGTAATCAATACCCTCCTCCACTTGTCCCAAGTGAACACAAATCGAGCCTCGAATTGCTACCCAATTTTCCACACTCCATACCAAACGCACCACGTTCTCAGAGCGGGGAGAGATACACCTCTTCTAATCTACAGCTCCCCCTCCTTCCCAAGCCGCTATAATCCACATCAGCCACGAAAGCTTGTGATTCAGCGAGTCGAGCTGCACATCCTAATCATCGAGCAAATAATGACGATATTTAGCTTATCTTTGTTATGCTTCGAGTTCTCGCTCGGTAAGGATTGTCTTTAGGCGTGAAGCCTGCGACAGCTGCTAAGCTAAGAAAGAAAAAAAGATATATATCTTCATCTCGTTATCGCGATGATGATGGTGGAGAAAAGGAAAAGTAAACAAGAGAAAGCTTGAGCACGAACGTCGAGGGTCGAGCACGATATGGAGATGCTCTCGTATAGAGTATGGCGTGCTACCTCGGTGCGCTGGCTTACACAAAGAGTTGATACCGGCTTTTCTTTGGTGAGATTGACGATAGGATTTATTCAAACGACGGCATACATTGGATGAGAATGGGGTACTGGTACAGATTATCTGATCGGCTATTTCGAACTACAGCTATGAGTTTTCGTCCTCGGATGCCCATGCCGGTGATCCCAGTGATAGTCTCATATGAAAATGAAAAGCTTGAGTCACTTGAGGCCAAAGTCTATTTTATTAGGTGGACTTCGGTCTGGACTTCACTTCCCTTGAAATTGTTGTATCCAATATACATATATACATATCATCAAGGAAGCCTAGCTGCCTCTCGCCGTAAATAAAGAAGAGCAGGCGAGGTGATGTCATTATGCCAAAGGATCAAAGAGAAGCAGACCCATCCGAATCCTTCTCGGTATCAACAGAGATCTTGATAGAACAGATATCTCTATCATCTCACGCTGGGTCCAGCGCCAGGCACAAGTCAACATCGCCAAAGCCCAGCGACGTCGACGCAGGTCATCAGGATGAAGAGCCGCTCTTGGCTTCAGAGCCGAGGAGTGTGATTGCTATCACCAGTCTGCTCATGATCGGTACACGCCTTCTATCTCTATCTCTGAAGAGATTGATCGTAAGTTTTCCGGGGCGCAAAACCCCCCCCAAAAAAGCAGCAGCCTGTTTCTGAAGCGGAGGAGGAAAAGTAGTATCGATACTTCCTTCAGAAGCCGGGCTAGTCCGTTGTGGAAAGCGAGGATCATATCCATCCGCCGCACATGACAGACAACCAGTCCCTTCTTCGGTGGAATACTACTAGCGCACTGCCCTCTCCTCTCTTACTCATTTGCGTACTTCACTTCTTCTTCTTCTTGTTGTCGTCATCGTACCGCTCTCGCCCCCGCGCCTCCAGCTCACGAATGAGCTCCCCGTCCTTCGCATCCGCAGACGCGAGCGAAAGCGCACCTCTGCTCGCCAATCCTCCGGGGGCGTGACGCTCTTGTTGATCGCGGCTGCGGCTGCGGTGGGCGTTACTACTGACCACGGGAGCTCCATGTTGCTAGTAGGCCGGAGAGAGAGGGAGAGAGAGGAATTCTCAAGAAAAGCAGGAGAGCGACATTCACAGAAAAGAAAGAGATCGCCTTTTTCTCCGGCGGTGCAAAGAGTATCAGGTTGGGTAATAGGTTATACCTATTTTGCTCTTTGCTCTCTGCTCTCTGCTCTCTGCTCCCTGCTTCTTCCTTCAAAACTTCAATATTACAACCTAGAGCCCAGCAGAAGATACCCTCACTGAAGTCTCAAACCCATCAACATGGACACTACCCAGTTGATCTTACTAGCTTCACTTGATACTCATCAAATCACTCAACACTCAAAAAGTCTGCCCGGTCATCGTCTGGAAGGGAAACAGAAACCCAATTATAACAAACAAGCAGGGGTCCGTTGCTTAGAGCTCAAAAAGACAGGCACTACGGAAAGAGCAGTTTGAGATCGAACGTGGGAAAAGGAGGGGGTGGATGTAAATAAACGCACTATTTTCATCACCGGAAACTGAACTGGAGATACTGTACATATATAGTCACGGGACTCGGCGTTCTCAAGGCAGCAACGCCACTAGCGGCCTTTGCTTTCTTTTCTCCCTGTAACTAGCTAGAGCTCTCTCTCGGCGTGTGTGGGTGAATAGCCTTCCTTCAATAGAATTTGACAATACTACCCATTACGGGAGGCAACCAGAATTCCCAGCACGGGAAGCTGTGCAAGCCGGCGCTTGGTGTGTCATATCAGCATGAACCGATCTGGGTTTAAAGAAGCTCTCTCTCTTCGTTACGGTAAGACGAGAATTCACCTTCTGAAAAAGAATTCACAAATCAATCATGGCGCCAGCCCCAGTCACCGATGACTACTACTTGATTCTAGAGGTGAAGCCAACTGCGACCTTGGAGGAGATTACAAAATCATACAAGCGCCTAGCACTTCAGTGTCATCCCGACCGAAGCAAAGAGTCCAATGCAACGGCGGCTTTCCAACTAGTAAGTACTGGGAGATGTCCGTAATACGGACTCGGCGTAGATTCTGGATCAACAGGCTAACGTTTCTGGGCCTCGGAGCTAGGAGAGGCGTACGAGACGCTCAAAGATGAGAATAAGAGACGGGCCTACGATTCACTCTATCATCGGATCAAAGCCACCAGGCCAAACCCAGCACAGAGTCGTCGAAAATCGAAGTCCACGCCCAAGCCAGAAACTCCGACAGCCATGCCCCCGAGACAATCTGATGAGGCCATGGACTTGGCAGAAATGGCCGCAACCCGCAAGAACAAGGAACAACGACTTGCCAAATGGAAGGTGGAGCGGAAGCGATGCGATGATGGTATCTCCGAGCTCACTAGGGATATAAACAAGCTTAAGACTGCACTGAAGGAGTATGAAGCAAAGAAAAAGGCAGACCGAGCAGGAGATGCGGCTATTGCTAGCTGGCCAACATGGCTACTGTCTGCATTTCGAAAGAAACGAGTTGAGAGCGCGGAAGAGCAGAAGAGAAAGACCTATGACCGTCTGAACAGATACCACGGCGCGAATATGAAGCTGTGGAATCTGGGAGTCAAGCAGGATCGTCTGAAAGACTGGGAGAGGCAGCTATCACGTAGTAGAGCAGCTTTCGACGCAGGCAACGCCATGGACGACGGTGCGATACGATTCATCGAATCCCGCATGCGTGACCGACGCGCGAGGGAGCAGCAAGAGCGGATGCTGGCGAAGCAGAGAGCCCACGACGAAGCTCTGCGAGAAGAGCGTAGGAATCGGGACAAGGCGCAGGCCGAGGCGCAGGCGAGGGCTCGAGCTGAGTGGGCGACACGAGCAGCCGCGGCGAGGAAGCAAGCGGAGAGGGCGAGGTCTCCGACCCAGAATGGTGAAGAGCCGAGTCCATCGAAGCCATCCGCCGCTCGCCCGAGGGCTACCTGCAGCCACGACGGTTGGTGGTTGCGGGTGGACGGCGATGGGAGTTGGGACCGGCTGGCATGCGAGGAGTGTTCGGCAACGTACAGCTACCTCCTCCAATGTCCGGGTTGCAAGATCAAGGCTTGTGCGACGTGTCAGCAGGATTTGAGGCCGGTGAGGAGTTGGGGTGGAGGGCGACGGCCGCACGGCGAGCGTCCTGGTCATACGAAGGCGACGACATCACCACCAGAGCAGCACTTCAGCCACAACTATGACTAGAGCGCATCTATCAGTGGGAGGTGTTCGAGATGAGAGCAGGTTGGGGTTGGGGTTGGGGTTGGGGTTGGCGATGGCGATGGCGATGGCGATGGCGATGGGGTTCTGGTGTTGTCGGGACCAGAATTCGTGCGCGCGTCTTTGGCGAGAAAATCTTTCCCGAGGTCACGGGTGCGATTGAGCAGCGTGGTCGCTGCATTTGCATTTGCTTTACACTGGTCACGAAAACCCTCAACGCCCAGGGATTCAATACTATAAAGCATTAGACTGCCAAAGACTTGACATGGCGAGTAGCGATAACATTGGTTTTTTGAAAAAAAGAAGAAAAAAAGACATCCCCAAACTTGCAACTGAATGTGAATGTGATCGTGATTATCGCATCCTAACAAACGTGACTCGCCGCTCTCCTCCACCCGGCCACCCACCGATGCAATCAATTATTTATATACCAGCCAATACAGCAAAGCATTCCGCAAATGAGTTCCCCAAAGTGGATAGCAGCGAACACCCTCGCTCCCTTCCCCAAACTTCCATCTCCCCTCCAAACCCTCCTCTGCAAAAGGCAGAGGGAGCAGTCCTCCCTCTGTCCAACCACAAACTATTCTCTTTTTCTTGCCCTCCCCCTTCCATCCCAACCAATCACACACACACACATACCGGTACACACCCCTCTCTTCCCTCCCTCATGAAACCCCCCACCTTCAACATATACCCCCTCTCCCGTTTTCGCCCCTATGCAACATAGCACAACACAACACCATCAGAAGACGGCGATTTGGCGGAGTGGTTAACGCGGTAGACTTGAAATCTACTTCCTTCGGGAGCGTAGGTTCAAATCCTGCAGTCGTCGGCCGACCGTTGATGGTGCAACCTGTGAGGTGCAAATCTTCTCTTGGAGTGGGCTTTTTTGTTCCCCCCATCTCCTCACTTGGGAGGGGTATCTGCCTCGGTTTGGTGAATGCGTGCTTCTTATTTTATCTATCTATCTATCTATCTATCTATCTATCTATCTATTCATATATATATCTATTCATATATCTATCTATCTATACATCTACTTAGTTAGTTAGTTATTTATTTATTTATCTATCATTTTATTTATTTATTTATTTATTTATTTATTTATTTATTTATTTATTTATCTATTTATTTATTTATTTATTTATTTATTTATTTATTTATTTATTTATTTATTTATTTATTT